TGAATGCTGGTAAAGGCAATGAATGCTTTCAGAGCCCATGATCAGAAAAGGGAAACCCATTTTCCATCCTCACACAGATCCTCCTGAACCACTGTTAGTCTTCTTCCTTCCATTTCCTCATGCAGAGCTCATTGTATAGGCTTAATCAGTTTTTACAATTTATTTTTACTTAAACTATAAGCTTTAAAAAGCATAAGCAGACATGATTTCCCCCACATTTCTGTTATTTTGGCTGCAGAATCAAGCTTCACATACTAAATAATCTTGTTTAACCACAGTCCCACTAAACCCAAGAGTCATCTGGAGCAGCCATCTCATTTTCTACCTGCTACTCTGTTTGGAATGCCAGGGCACCATGTCACCCGGGAGAGCAACACCCAGGCATCCAACCTTCCCACCATCTTACATGACTGTTGTTCCTTCTAACGTGGCTCCACCGAATCATAAATTGTCAGGTGCAGAGCTGAGGCATAAGAAAAAGTTCTGACCCTATATAATAGGTATAAGTCTTACAACAGAGTTGTCACGTAACCTCGCGATGACAATTGGTTCTCGTTCCCCCCAAGAATGTTGTGTTGCTTCCATAAAATGGCAGATATTAAAGTCTAGCTCGCAAATAGAACTTATCCACTCTACTTCAGAAAGAACATGTGGCTGATAGGCAGTAAGGAGAAATTCTTATCATACATATTTCTTGACAGATGACTCTGCTGAGGTGATTCAAAGCAGAAAATATACTTGTTTCAAGCAAAATTAATGCTCCACTCACATACCTACCAGATCTATTTGTATAATATTAATTCCTTTCCAGTCACAGTTCTTACCTAAACATTTCACAAGTTAAAAATGAGAAGGCCTAGGTGTATACCAACCAGATTTTTTCAATAGAGAAATGAAAAAGTGAGAGGCTGGTTTTTAAATACTTAGTTAAGAACCCCTACAGATAACCAATGTGATATTAAAACTTATGCTGCACAAATACATGGTCCTATCTGATTTTCCTCTTTCTCTAAATCAATAAAACTCAATTTCCACATGAGACTGAAACCAAAAGTTCACAGGCCATTTACAGGTTCCAAGTACCATTTTAGCCTTGATTGACATTTTTTCCACTCATTTTAGAATTACAAGAAAAGCCTCTGGAATAAAAATTGATTTTGTATACCTTATCTGAACAATTTATCATATCAAAGGAAAATGGACTGGGTCTGTGTCCAGGTAAAGTTAAGTTTGCGTAATTATATTACACTACAGAAAAGAATAAGAATGAAGCCTGAGGGCTTAAACAAAAGGGTGGGGGATTGTCTATATTAATGAAAGAATAAGGAAGATAAACAAAAAGTAATTAATGTGGGCAGTAGTTAGTAGTTTAATAGCTAGTAAACATAAATCCAAAGACTTCTCAAGCAAAATTACTAAGGTATCTTTTTCTCAAGTCATTTATTTAGGAGGAAAGATTTTTGAAAGTTAACTAAAAGAAGAAGATAATTTTAGACCCTGGGCAAATCATAAGTTGAAAGACCTTGTTCTGGATGAGGGACTCAATGCAGCCATCCGCCAAATGAAGAGTTTCTAAGCACAGGCCGAAGGACGCTGCTCGGAAGCAAAGGGGGATTTATTAAGGCTAAGCTACCCTTGCTTAGATCAGAGGCTGTTTTTTTTTTATATTTTGTTAGGAGATAGAAAAATAAAGCAACTCAGGAAGAAAAACACATCTTCCTAACGAGCTTAGTCTCTACATAAAAACTTGCTATTTTCATTGCCTGACATTTGGTACACAGAGTAATTTTCCACACCTTACTTAGGAGAGAAACATTGACTATTTCTGTTTCAAGGATTAGTAGAAGTATCTCAGATATACTTGAAATATTTTTAAAACTACTTCAAATCTAATGGAAGCTCATCTTCCTATAATAGAAACTCAAAGAATGCAGAACACTGATGAAGTCTGTTCATTAATCTCCTGAAAGGTAATTAATTTCCTCTTACCTTAAAAATATACAGCCTCACCACCTACTCTCCCAAGCCCCTTAAATATCAACATCTTATATGAATCTAGACTCTTGGAAAATTAAGAATACTTTAGAAAAAAGTGAACATTTAAAATTTTATCAAGTATTGAAAGTGGTGCAAAAAGAGGGCTCACGCCAAAGTTATATGCTGGAAGATTAACTAAAAGCTTAATTTTGAGTTATAAAGTGATTTTTGCCACTGAATGAAAAGAAATAAGAAAAAAAAAGCTAACAATTTATAATCCACTCCAGGACTCTCTCTCAAAAGAAGGAAAAAACAAAATCAAACAAGAAAAAGATGTGAGAGATACCAGTGAAACTCTGTTTAAGAGAAATGCGTAAAAAGCTAGTATTTTAATTCCATATTTTTATTTTCAAATTATGGAACTCTGAAATTTTTGGCAATTATGAACTAAAAACACTAGTGTATGTATACTTGAGTCTTCCACACTAAATGAAGAAAGTTAATCGGAATCTTAACAAACAGCTCACTGTTCTCCAAGGTCGGGTGGGAGGGAGAATAAGACAGTATGATCAATTATTCCAACTTAATGGAAGCATGTATATTTGCATGTAATCATTCAGGTCCAATTATTGTTAAGAACCTTTCCTTCAATTATCACTGCTTCCTCTGATATAATATTAGAAAAGTATTTTGACTTTCAAAAGACTATCAGTTTTAGACTTAAAAAATAAGAACAGGGCTCCTGTTAGGGGTTCCTAATTGATAAATTCACTAAAGGGCTATCTGATAATAAAATTTGACTTGCTTTGAGATGAATGTCCACAGGTGCTACCCCAAATCAAGACGCAATGTATATGTTTTGTATAAAATCTAGTCTTGCATTTTTAGAGTATGCAACGTGTTTAACAATTGGGAGTAGGAGGTTAGGAATACAAATAATTCTAACTCTTCTGACTGAATCACCTGAAGCTTAGATATTCTTTCCCCCGTGTAGGAAAATGAATTATCTTCCATTTAAGACTGAAAGGGCTCCACTTATCTTCCCATTTAGGTAATGGCCACGAAAGGATCATATTCATTTCAGAAAGAGAATAAGCAGCAGGAATCATAACTCCTTTGAGAATATCTTAAATAAATAGAGATGGTTAGACAGATCATATATATTCAGTTTCAGAAGAAAAAAAAAAAACAGCCTGAACCTTAATGACGTGCTGCAGATTTGCCAAAATGAGGCAAATACGGAATACAGAATGTCACGACAGTATCAGGAAAGTACATTTTAACTGGTCAATTTAGCAAAGATACCCTTTGTGCAAAGGTTCAGGAAATCACTCAACAAATGTTTTTAAAGAGTTAAATTTTGCGAAGTGTGAAGTATGGAAACATCAGCACGAGGCACAGTGGGTTCTGAATTACCACAAAAATTTTTAATTAGAGAAGGGCCTAACAGATGAAAATGCAGTCGGGTGGTGTATTCTTAGCTACTGATTTCCTCAGTTTTCCTCCCTTCTACTCAAGTGTTAGGCTGCACCGCGGGAGCAACAGCGGGGAGCGAGGAGGGAGACAGCTCCCCTCTCCTGTCACCTCCTCAAAAGACACTTGAAGCCTGTGCTGTCCGACGCGGGAGCCGCCAGGCACATGTGGCCAGTGCGTACTGGAAATCTGGCTAGTGCCACGTGCTGAACGAGGAACACTTCGGGCGCACTGGATCCGCTAAACTGTATGATTAAAATCAATTTCACCTCCTTCTTTTCACCTCCCACTCACAGCGGGGTAGAAAGATGGCTGCTCCTGAATGCTCAGACGAGACACAGAGTCGTCTTTGGAGTTTCACCCAAAAGGGGAAAGTTTTTTGGAGGCTCTAAAAAATGCCAAAAGTTGGAAATTAAATCTAAACTGCAGTTTCTACCCAGCCCGATTGTAAATCTGAATTATATATTTCCCTGAATACACAGATTTAAAAAAAAAAAAAAACAATAAAATTTATAAGACAACATATTAAGTCAATTTCACAGTCATAAATATCTCGAATTACACCTACATACTATAAATTACAGGAAATAAAATTCAAGTAATAGAAAAAGAAGACAGGAGCAAAATAAAAGGCAAGGTTATTTAGAGAGGGATATAACAATCAGAACTGCACCATTTGGAGAACTTTGCTTGAAAAAATTTTACTTGATTAACTGAACTGCATGTGAGTCCCTTCAAGAGCTAATACCTCTTAAAAGAAAAGCAATCAATTCTTTCTTTAAATTCCTGGATGTTCATCTTCGTCTTTGAAAAACAAAAATATTTTCTTCCCAGAACTGACCCCGGCAGAGCTTGCCCCAAGTGTAGAGAAGCTGAGGGCCTGGGGCACACGTGGTGTCAGGGCTCGTCTGACATGTGGACACAGGAGCTGGCAGTAGTGTTCACAGGACCGATGCGCTGTTATCGATGGGGAATGCCAAAGGCGAAGCTAAGTGTGTCCTCCAATCTAGTGTGCATTTAAAGGAAACACCCAGTGTACTGGCATGAAGTGGACTCTAACAGAAAAGGAGCAGCACAGTTCCTGCTATGTATGTTTTAGGGAAAGGGAAGGGCTTAATCCCAAAGGCAATTTAAATAATGGTATTTTATTTTTATATATAAATAAACGTTCTGAGAAATCTCAGACTTTAGTGCATTGTTGTAAAAAATTAGTGCAGTTTTCTCAGTAAAGTTTTTAGCGCTCAAGGAGTAAGATAAATCTATGTCTGTTCATAGTTTCTTTTACTGTACATTAAACGTTCAGACAGCTAAATGTCAAACTGAAGGTTTCTACACTGGTCTGTTCTTAAAAATCAAGGTAAATGGATTTCATGTTCTGTGACAAAACATGGCAATTATTTTTGGCAAAGAAATTAGAAAAATATGAGATCATAGTTTAGAAATGAAGAGTTTGTTGATGTAAAGCATAGGCAATACATAGGAAAAAACTTTCTTTAAGGATGTATTTTTAACAGAACTTTATCCTTCATGCAGAATGTTTTCTCGGCAGCTAACTTAAAAAAATATTTCAGCTTTATTTGGGGATGGAGACAGTGACAGGAGTCGGGGTGAAGGACGACGGCGAGGCGCAGAACCAAGCCCGCTCTCCGTCCCCGTCTCTCCCATACCAGAGCCAAGGGATACCTGCAGGCATCTTCCACGCTCTCCTCTCTTCTTCCAACGACTTGGAATGGAGAGGGCAAAGAACCGTAGTTATCCGACACTGGCTCACACTTCAGCCCCAAGTTCTAGTACCCCAGTTTCTATCACAGTCACATATTTATCATCAATCTGGACCAGCAGTACTGTCTTGTCGATGTGGGATCTAGTACCTGGATCTCTGCTGCAAGGCACCCATCGGTGAATCACCTATTGATTCAGAATACAGTAAGTGAGTGGCAGAGACCTGGAAAATATTCACAAAATTCACTCACTCTTACGGGTAGTAATTCTGTTTGGTGAAAAGGTACATTTAAAATAACATAAGCATAAATTAGCTAAACACACGCAAACAAGTCAGGCTACAAAAAAGTGAGAGGCTGGGTCAGCTTCATGAGAGAACTTACATGACCTTCCATGCCCTCCTGAGGACTCCAGTCTTTCCAGCTGTTTCTCCCAGCTTTTAACCGAATACCCTCATCAGGCCACTGCAGCTCCTTCCTTTTTGACAGGTTGATCCCATCCAGAATTTGACTGGGATCTACAATCTATATTGCAAATAAATATGGGTCATTTCCAGTTCAATTTTTTCTCGATGATGACAAATTATATAATCTCAAACAAAATTTCTTTCATAGACTCTCCACGTCTCAAGTTCTCCACTGCCTATAACTGAACAAACAAACAGTCTGAAGGGCCTCCTCCTGAATTCCCTGTAGCCTACTAGCTGACCGTACTGCAATGGCCACACGACGGCAGCTGAGTAGGGACAAAAGTCACCACTGAAACGCTACTTGCTTTTGGTTCTTATGCTGGCAGAAACTTTTTCTCAACATTCAAACGTGTCCTAGTCTTCAGACTAATTAATAGGAAGGTGTGTTCTCACCAGAATGCTTCACTCAACAATTGAGGAAAAAAAAAAACAGAAACAAATGAGTGACACGAACAGCACAAGAACCACGTGCTTACTCACTTGGACTCTGTAAATCACTTCCCCCCTTTTGCCGTGTGAATTATTGGCAGGACTTAAGGTGTTGCCTGGCTGGACGTCAGTGGCACTGCTCTGACCTCCCTCTGTCCCAAGAAAGCCCACGAGAGTGTGATGTTTGCAGGCTGGGATGCTCTGGCTGGAGCTGCTGGAAGAAGGCAGGCCATGCTGCACACAGGCCATGCCGCTCTGACTGGAAGGCTCCATCTGGTTCACCATGGAGAGGCGGGACTGGATGGAGGACGGTAAGTTTCGAAGCGATATCTGACTCGTGGAAGAGCGCCGACAAGGCACAAATCCCGTGGTGGACATCCGGAGGGACGAATGCCGGCTACTGTAGCAGTAAGAAGACTGGCTGGCCACTGAGGCGCGAGCGGGGGACTGTCTGACCAGGCTTGACTGCACGGAGTGGGAGCTGTGGCTAGTGCCTAGGGAAAGACAAACAACAAGCTCATGCTAAGTGCGATGATTCAAACACAGGGTTTTTTATTTTTCTTTATAGTTTCCGAGAGTTTCCCCCAATTACTTGGTCAATTCACTGAATTTAAATTATACCTAAAACTTCTTTTAAAAAAGTTTGTATTTCTACCCAAAACTTTTAAAAAAAGATTTATTTGAGAGAAAAGGAGAGAGGGCGCAAGCGTGCGCAAGTGCAAGTCAGGAGAGGGCAGAGGCGGAGGGAGAGAAAGAATTTCCGCCAGACTCCTCACGGGATGTGGAGCCCAACGTGGGGCTTGATCTGACCCTGAGATCATGACCTGAGCCAAAACCGAGAGTTGGACGCTTAACAAACTGTGCCACCCAGGCGCCCCATACCTAAAACTTTTAATGTTGTCAAGAAGAAATAAATATCTGAGATTTGTTATCTTGTGTGCTTTTAAATTAATAATTTTAATTTGCTAATGCTTTTTAAAATTAAAATTCTGGGACAAAAACAAGACACACATGATTTCTGCAAATATCGGGATTTAACACTGAGGTGAATCCTAAAATATCTTCCACAGGTATACTTCAGAATAATAAGAATACCTCTTTAATATTTCAGAAATGAAACATCTCACGGAAATGCGACCATAAGAAATATTTATTAAGGAGGTACTATGTGGTAGGATCTGTAACTACTACTTCTCAAAGTGTAGAGTTAATGTCCTTTCAATCCATTCCCATGACAAACTACACAGTCTACAGAGAGATGGTGATTCCACACTGTACTTTTCATATCCATTAGGGGGTTACTACTAAATATGAATTATCAGTGATATGGAATGGCAGGTCCTTCTGTGTCCTTTTTCAAATGGCTTGATATGATTCCTCAGGTCTGTCTTTTCCCTGACTTATAACAGTAATATGAAGATTAGGAAATAATTAACTATATTGAAAAAAATTGCTCCATATACTTTCTATCTGAAAATATAGAGCTGATCAAAATAAGAGCATTTAAGAAAGCACAAAGTTCTAGCTTTTCACTCAGAAGTTACAAAAGAACATTAAAAAATGTTGGTAATACACCTATTTAGAGTCTTAATTCCAATGTTATTGGATTTTTTTTTTTTTTTTAAACAATGAATGTCTTAAGACTTCTCATTCATGTGAAGCAGTAGGGGAAAAGACAGCACTGGATCAACCACCTAGCCATATGAAAACAGGTTAAATCTGATTCCTACTGCATACCAGGTGGATTACAGATCTTGTGTTAAAGGTATATTAGTAAAAACAAACAAACAAAAAAACCAAAGAAACCTGTCATGCCTTGGGACAGGAATAATTTTCCTAAGTTAGGATACAAAAAGTACTAATCATAAAGGGAAAGATCAGTAAACTGCTCTACACTAAAATTAAAAAGACTTTTGTCAAGAGAAGAGGAACCACCCTTCTTAGGAAGAGAATGGAAAGCCCAGGGATAGAATGGGAAGAGATATTTGTAGTATAGAAAACTGACAAAGAACTCAAACACAGAATACACAAATAAGAAAAGGATAATCATGGAACTAGAGGATATTATGCTAAGCAAAATAAGTCAGTCAGAGAAAGACAAATATCCTATTATTTCACTCATGTGGAATTTAAAAAACAACAGATGAACAGGGGACGGGAAGTTAAAATAAGGTTAGTACAGAGAGGGAGGCAAACCATAACAGACTCTGAGCGTTGATGGAGAGAGGTGGGTGGGGGATGGGCTCAATGGGCGCTGGGCATTAAGGAGGTACTTATTGGGATGCACACTGGGTGTTTTATGTGGGCGATGAACCACTGGATTCTGCTCCTGACTAGTGCTGCACTGTATGTTAACTTGAAATTAAATTTGAAAAAGAGAAAGATAACCAAAGAGAGTAATGGGCAAAAGACTTAATAGGTACTTCAAAAAGGGAAACCGGTGATAAACTCATTTAAAACTTTCCAATCTTGGGTATCAGAGCAATGTAAATTAAAACAATGAATTAAAGATCACTCTTCCCCTTCCCTCCAAGCAAGTAGGGAGCAGAGATGAGAAATGATAATACTCCAAAGCTGGTGAAAATTTACAGGATGGGCATTCTGATGTTATAACTGGGAGAGTACCAATTGGTAAAAAATAAAACAAAACAAAAACTTGCTGGAAAGATTTTTGGCATTATGTGTCATAAATATTAAATATTCTCATAAACTTTGACTTAATGATTGTATTTTAAAAGTCTCTAGCCCAAGAAAATAGCGATTATAAAAAGTTTATTATAACATTCAGAAGAAACCAAACCATTGTCCAATGAAAGAGAAGTTAAATAGATTATACTAAATATTATTAACCTTTAAAAAATATGATATTCCAAGTAATACATATATTTCATTACTATAAATAGGATAATGTCCAACCAGGAATCAAGCAAAATACTCTTTTTACATATTTCCAAGCAGGTAATACAGAATTCCTTTTTCTTTTTGAGAGACAGAGAGAGAGAGAGAGAGAAAGCAAGCACACACCCGTGAGGGAGGGGTTTGGGGAGGGACAGAGGGAGAGGGAGAGAGAGAACCCCAAGCAGGCTCCATGCCCAATGCAGAGCCCATGGGTCTCAGGGCTTGAGCCCACCACCCTGAGATCATGACCTGAGCTGAAATCAAGAGTCTGACGCCTAACTGACTGAGCCACCCAGGCACTCTGGTAACACATAATTCTCTTTATACACGCACACCAAGAGGCTAACTTAGATACATAATTTTGTTTTCACATTACCTAGTGCTGGAGGATAAGATGTGACCGGTGGATGGAGCCCGGCTCCTGACCCTTGCCCTGGATTTCCAGTGCTTCCCTGGGACACAGTGCTGTGGGGGTCACTGGCGCTCACTGCATTGTTGCTAGTGCAGGACATTCCGCCTCCAGTGTCAGAATCTTCAATATTGCCACCGCTGTTACAGCCGGCCCCACACCCTTTCCTTAACCTAGGAACAAACACCAGAGTAAGCAGCATTATCCCATGAACTCTTCAAGCTAGGTGTTTTATTCTACTTCTAGCTATTCTGAATGTTTAATGCTACTAATGTGCAATCAATATTAGAAACAAAAAAAGGCATTTACATTTTCAAAGAATGGCCTAAGAACTATCCCCTCCTTATTCTCGCCACTTCAATTCTCCCCAATCTACCTTCACTTTAATATAGTGTATCATCTTTCCCAATCTTTTCATCTTTCCTTAGCCGTAATAAACCGTACATAACAAAACTGTACCATTAAGGTGGAAACAGGACTCTTGCCAGCGTCTGCTCAGTGCCTCTGAAGTGTATAACCCCTGAAAACCCCTCATTTCGGCTGTAGCAAACTTGGGAGAGAGCTGCTGCAATCATTTTTCCTGGTTTTTGTGGGTGGTTTTTTTTTTTTTTTTTAATGTAGGGTGACCAACTATCCTGGGTTACCCACAACTGTCTCAGTTTTGCATTGAAAGTCCTGCTTCCCAGGACACTTCTTAGTCCTGCGGAAACCAGGACAGCTAGGAACCTTAATCTCTATTACTATTTCTCTCAAGGGAAGAGAGAAAACAATCTCTTTAAGGCAATTCCAGCAAAACAGATAGTTTTTTAAAAGAAATTTTGAACACCACTCTGGTTTATGTTCTTCCTTCTGTTTGGATAGAGACTGATATTAAAATGGTGAGACTTTTTTTTTTTTTTTTACTATGCCTAGAGGAAAATGCCTTCTTGAGAGTTTGCCACCCTAATCCCACATTCTGTTTTTCCCAAGTTCCATTATTTAAGGATCTAAACAAAAGCCAGTAAGAAATTGAAAAAATACTGTGATATTTCTTCACCATCCACCAAACTATGATGTTCCTATACTGAACACCATAATTTACAAGACAAAAGGCGGAGAGAAAATTCGTGTGCATACTTGAAGACACTACAGATTCGAGATCGGAGTGATGACTGTTAAAATGGCAGTAGTGTTACATAACGAGGAGTTTGAGCAAGTACAGCATGCTCGCCCTTCTGCAACACTGGACTAAAACAGAAGGTGAGCAACTTCTTCAAGTGTCTTGGGTTCTTCTCTAACTTGCTGTTTGTTGACCCACACATCCTACTAGTGTCATTGATGTTGCAGTACAGAGTCAAAAAAGTTAAAGAAAAGAGAACTATTCAAGATTCTACCAAATGCTGGATCAGTGTAATCAGAGGTGGACATGAGACTTATCTAGTAAGAGTCTGAAATAAAAATTGCTCAGACTACTTTCTGAAGTTCCTGATAGAATAGGTTTACATTGCACTATGGCATCTGTATTTTTCTGTAAGCTTTCTAGGTGACACTTAGGCGAACTGCCTCAATGAAGGTCAGAACATACCACCGCTGAAATATGCAACCCCACAGCTCACCTGTGCCAGGTTGACACTATGAAGTTTCTGATATTTCCCAAACTGATAGGTCCCCCAAGGATTTCTTTAAGCTGCTCATGGCTGTCAGAGTAAGAAGTTGTCAGGGGTGAGACAAAGATTGGGTAGCCAATAGGTTGGTCACAAGATGAGTTTATCATGTTTCTCAGAGCTTGTTTGGCATTCTGGATGCTACCTCTTTCTGGATTACGGTTACGTAGAAAAACAAGCTCTTGCTGTTGTCCTGCCCAAAGACCTCGGACGCATTCCTTATTAACCTGAAAAACAGAACACATGGGAATTAGGTTAAGTGGCCAAGAATGAAATTCATATAAACAGAGGAGTATAAATCAGAAGGATACAAAAGACACATGAGAGCCAACTGTAAAAAGTAGGAAACAAATACAAGTTGGTCACAATTTTATAGAAGTTCATCAATTTTCCATTGTCACCAATGGGCTATTAAATAAGCACATGCAGAACTCTTTTCCCTGGTCTGGTAAAAATATCAAGTTTTCCAAATTAACAATGCACTGGGTTTTGCAACTGAGATAACAGATATATTTGACAGAAATCAGAAGTAACAAATATTCAGAGTTAAAAGGATGTTTGTGACTTGCGAGTTGACTAGATGAAGTAGATAAAAAGTGAATCATTATAAACTATTAAAATAAAATTTCAGAAATTATGTCTCCTAAAGCCATGAGATGTTTAAAAAAGCAACAAAAAAAGGGAGGTAGATGGGCAATGGGGTAATTGGGGGATGGGCATTAAGGAAGGCATGTGATGAAATGAGCACTGGGTGTTCTATGCAACTGATGAATCACTAAATTCTACTTCTGAAACTAATTTTTCAAAAAAGACAAACAAAAAAAAAAGTACAAGCTATGGTATTGTTTTGAAACCTGGGAAATCAGATTAGCAATATGGTGTTGATGTTTTAAGAAGAGACAGTGCCCAGAGTGTATATGTAACAGATAAAAGACTGCCAAAATGGAAATAAGCAAAAATTTTAAAACTTTATGGCACATGAAAAAATTTCAGAGGACAGAATAGATTGCAACATAAATCAAATTAAGCGCTCATAATCAATGCTAATGTAGTATGGTCATTTTTCTTCTATAAAAAGTTCCAATCACTTTCTAAACTTGGGGTAAGGTTATGTAACTTTTTTTTTCAGACACAAATAAATGCCTCAAAAACTAACCTTAATGACCCTGAAGCTCAGGTAGCGTCTGTTGAGCATGATGATCTTGTATTCATTGGTGCCGTCATCCATGACATGCCGCAGAGCGAGAAGGGAGGGAGAGTTGGCAAGGACTGCACTCCGCCATGCAGGGTCCCCTTCATGGGCTATTACGAGGTTCTTTTCATGAGACACAATGGCTTCATAGAGCACAGTAGGGTCATCATACTCATCTGGAGAAGTGAAATGATCCTAAACAGAGAAATAAAAAATATATACTTTATAGGAAAAGAAGGACTTCCATATAATGATAAAAGCTTCTGCAGTTACTAAATGAAAATTCTGAAAAACTGGTTTAATATGAATATTTCATATCCGCACATATTATTATTGTTGGAGACGGAGTGTCTTAAATTTAAGCAGGTTAGGAATTAGCTCTTTACTTTTGTAAATACTTCAACCCAACCCTATCTTCTAAGTTTTAAATAAACAAATATTTTTCCAATTTTTATAAATTTTCTTTGTTTTTCTCGTTCAAGTGGGGTTTTACATGTCTTCATTCATACATAATTTTTTCTCATAAAGGACTGTCTCACTGGTATCAGTTAAGGAAGGCTAAACAATATAAAAGTCCCCTAAGTTGTGTTCCTTTTTAATGAGGCATTTTTCACACAGAGCCACATCTCTAGAATGATCCCAATATGCATTTTATCTCTTCTAGTTAAGATAAGGAGATTAAGGGTCCCAGTCCTAAAGAAGCTAGTCAAGTTTTCCCTGAGAAATCTCTTGGTCTAGGTAACCACCACTCCTGTATTCCACAAGCCGTTATTTAATACCTCTCATGTGTGGGGTTCTGTGGCAGAGAGCACAGATGAAAAAGGACTATGTGGAATGTATCCCCCTTCAGAAACCTGCAAGTTAACAGGGGATGCAGGACATACACCCACATAACCTTAAGACAAATTCAAAGTTCTGAAATGAAGAGTATATAATCGTAGCTATTCATAGTTGGGAGGTTGATAAGTTTTTATATCCAGGTAAAGTCACTCATTTCCACTCAAGCCAAGTGACCAGACTGTGTGTGGTATCTGAGGGGAGATGGGTGAGTACAAGAAGGCAGGCTCCCCAATGATGCACCTCCACATCTGGGGGCTGGCCTGTATGAGAACAGAAAAAGTATTCACTTGTGTATGTGAATAATGCTTCAGAATATAAAAAGTTCTAGCAACACGCTCCCCCCCCAACCCCAGCAACTCTTAACAACCTTGCCAAGCAGATTAAGTACGTAATACCAGCTTTGCAAATATCAAATCTGAAGCTCAAAGAGTCTTCGCTTCTTCCTAGGTTTAGGAAGTTAGTAAATGATTAAGCCAGGACTTAAACCCATGTTTAAAGAGAATTTAGCATTCTGATTTTAAAAAGTGTGTGATTATAAACATTAACTGAAAAACCTGTAAGCCCAGTTGATGTGATTAGGGAAAGTTACACAGTGCAGGTGGTTTTGAACTGAATCTGCAAGAATGAAGACAATTTCCATGGACGGAGATGGGCATTGTGCCGGAAAGAGAGAGAGCTCCAGGCAAGACATCCTACAGGATAAGCACAGGTCAGTGAATAACACAAAGGTGATTACAGCCTAAAGTCTCTCTGGGGAATTGAGTTTCTATGACGTTGCCAGGCAGCCCTGTGCTAGACACTGGGGAAGGATCAGTGAGTGAGACAGATACAAGCACTGTTCTCAAGGAACTTAGGGTCTAGTTAGAAAATACTGAAAACAAAACAAAACTAGAAAACTAGCTTTTAGCCAGATTGTGGAGCATCTCCCTCGTACCTTGTCCAGATTTCTGCTATTGGGCTGGTGCACTTCCCTCTGTTACTCCCTTCTCTTAGAACTGCCTTCAACTGATGGGGCTGCCTAGGCAGGAAATGCCAGGGGAGGTTTATTCCCCCACTTGGTTGGGGGGGGGCGAAGGTACATCATATAACATCATATAACTCTTGGTGACACTGGCACTCCAGAACTCCCTCTAAATCCAGTAGAAGCTAGAATTCAGCTTAAACAGTTTTGCTTAGCTCCTTCCCTCTTCTTTCCTGCTCCCCACCCTTCCTTACAAATTCACCTGAGGACACCCTTTCAGTCTCTGGCACAGGAATCCTGGGCTCTGACTCTGCTTCTAAAGAGTGTGGCCTAAGCTAGCGTTTATGACACCTCTGTACATCGTACACCAGCCCTCCTGACCTTCCTTTGAAATACCGAGCTCGCCTTCAGCAGAGAGCTAGATATCGTATGACGGGCTCTCCTTTAGCAAACAGTTCCTTTAGGGAAGGAATTCTACCTTTGTATAGTAGTCTTCCTACAATTTTTTGAATAAAAAATAAAAGTGCAGACATAGGCAACAGTTACAGTCTTAATAAAATGGACAAAGTTGGAAATTATTAGGCATGCCAAAATGGAGTATGATGAATCTTGCTCAATTATTTCTTTTCACTGGGCTTAAGATGGTTGGGTGAGTATTGTTTTAGAGGCAAAGTATTTGAAACAAGTAGAATGTCCATGAATAGGGAAATGGTTGAATAAACTTCAGTTAAGAATTATATTCTGGAATACTACAGAGCCATTAAAAATGTAGAAAGTATCTAAGTTATATTAAATATGGGGGGAAAAAGCAGATGTTACAGATCACTTTATGTAGCACAAAGGAAAACATCTGTATATATAGATGGAAATGTCTATGAACTCAGGAAAATCAAAAAAGATACGCATCAAATTATTGGCAGTGACTGCTTCCTGGAAGGGCCATACAATGGTACAGGGTGATGGGAATACTTATTCTTGGGGGACGCTCACTTTTTAACGTTTTTCATTATTTTTCAAATACAAAGAGAAAATGTTCCCATTTTGGGGAAAAGTTTTCAAAGTCATTTAAAAAATATACTTGAAAAGTTAAAAGCCAATGCACAGTATATATTTTTGAAAAACGAAACTCATTCATTTTACATTCACTGGCAACCGACCCTCGTGCTAAGCAATGAAGATATAAAGATCAGTAAAAAATGATTCCTGTCCTCAACCACACATTATAAGATTTTTGTCATGTATCACTTATAAGCCAAAATGGACTTTGATTAGTTTATTTTAGTTCTAACAACCATGTAATCATCAAAGAGACTAACGAAAAAAGGTAAAACAAATAAGGATGTAAAGTGTTTTACGTTTTACAAAATGATTAAATAGAGGATAAGAATAGGAGAACATGTGAAAAAGGCAATTTGCTTAATTTCTCTGAATTGAGTCTTCACCTACCAAACTGGGATGAAAATAATTTTCTCTGGTATTATGTATATGCAAACACTAATATGCTGTACAACACTGTACAATTATTAAATATCACACAGATTATGACCATTTTTATTTATAAAGTAAAAACATAATATAGTCTATTGGAGAATTGAAAAATTTTTAAAAATGGTAAAGGAAAAAACAAAAATTAAAAACACCTACAAAGTATGCTAAACACACATTATCAAGGACTGTCTGAGAGGCAAGAGTTAAGAGAAATTTTGTATTTCTAGCTTTCTGGGAACAAAACCTTTTCTTTACATACAATAAATTCCACCATTTTTACGTGTGCAGTTAGATGCACTTTGACAAATACGCACACCCACGTAATCACTGCCACAATCTAGATCTAAAACTTTTCCATCACCCCAAAACATTCCTTCCTGTCTTTTGGCATTCAATCTCCACATCCTAAGGAATCACTAATCTGCTTTCTGTGGCTGTAGACTAGTTTGGCTTGTTTTAGATCTTATATAAATAAAATCATACAGTATGTACTCTTTTTATGTCTGGTTTCTCCTGCCGTGCATAATGTTTGAGATTCATTCATGTGGTATCTAACAGTAAGTAGCTCATTTCTTTTTACTGCTAAGCAATATTCTATCATGTAGATATACCACAATTAGTATGTTCATCTGTTGATGGAACGTGAGTTGTTTGCAGTATGGGCCTATTACAACTGAAACTGCTAGGCACATTCTCTTAAGTAATTATCCAGGAGGGAACAGCTGGGTTATAAGGAATGTGTATGAATAACCTTTCTTTTAATATATACACTGCCTATGGTTCACTTTTGTGGGTTGGGTTTTCAAGAGGATGTAACTCATGAAATATATGAGTAAATATATGAGTATGAACTTTGGAGATTCCCAGTACTGATTTACAGATCTATCTTTTCTTGGCCTAAGAGTTCCTCATGGGCAGCCCAACATGTGTCTCAAAATGATGCTCAGTAAGTGGTTGTTTCTGGCTACTGCAGAGGTCGATCTCTCCCTCCTCAAAGGTGTATCAAAATTATGGGATTTTTCCAGGCTGCATTTGTGTTCTCTATCTTCCCCCAGCCACCAATCCTCTGTGGCTCCCAGGTTCCTGATTCCAACTCCTCACCCCCATGGTTTGTCCCTGCTGTTGTCAGTCACGGCTGATGAAGTAAGCCGTGCTGGGCCCAATGTAAGGTAGAGAGGCCCTGTCACAGACAATAATGCCACAGCCAAAAGAACGTGGAAGGAAATGGACCTGACAGCAATAGGTAAGAGCACCTCTAAGGAGAGACGGGCAAAGACCTAAAGTATCCGAAAATTCCCTGTGTCTCAGTTTCTCTTCTGACAGATGGAGAGAAAATACCTGTCATAATGTTTAGAACTGACTGAAGATGTCGCTCTGGAGCTGTTAAATAACCATGCTGTATAAAAGAGTATTTCTTACATACAGGTATATTATTAATCAGTGCCTTTTGAGAAATTCTGAAGTTTTAAAAACATTTTAATCTAAAATAATTATCTTTTTCATTTAAACACATTGACTTGGCTCAAAACTGTAAAGCTCGTCTGAAGACAGACAACTCTAATTCTTCCCAAATGTGTATTTTCTCAATGATCCTCAAAATAGTATTCCATTTTCCACAGAGACTTTCAGATAATATATCCCTTCTCAGTAATCTCCTAAATAATACAGGACATTGACTTTATTCTAGCAGTTTAGATCATAGTAAAATCACTTGAGGAGTAATTCACCCTTTATTTGGGGGGGAAAAAAAAGATTCAAACAGATCTGAGTACAGCCAATACATTTTATTTTATTTTATTTAAGTATTTTATTTATTTATTTGACAGAGAGAGATCACAAGTAGGCAGAGAGGCAGGCAGAGAGAGAGAGAGGAGGAAGCAGGCTCCCTGCAGAGCAGAGAGCCTGATGCGGGACTCGATCCCAGGACCCTGAGATCATGACCTGAGCCGAAGGCAGAGGCTTAACCCACTGAGCCACCCAGGTGCCCAGCTGATGCATTTTAATGAGGCTTATCATGTGGTCTCTGTCATCAGATCTGATGACTACTATTAAGTGGAATGACTAGAGTAGCTCATACTGGTACTTAATTTCCTAATATAGTTTTGAAATAATCCAGGGCTTTGGATATGTATTTTGGGTCTGCATTTTATTATCCTACTAGGATTATTTAAGTAAGGCTAAATCTGTCCTAATCATCTATTATTCTATATAACATGCTACATGAAACAGCAGCACTTACAACCCTCCTAAGATGTTACCACAATGCATTGGGAGTTAGCTAACATTTGCCTACAGAAGAGGCTTGAATCACAATTATGTGAAATGTGAGGTAAAAATAAGGGCCTGAGAGCTTTATTCCTAGTTCGTCACTGCTGACAGTTTTCCTCAAGTTCATGTCCAGATCAACTCTCCAATATTAATATTCAAATTTACCCTTAGAAACACAGATTCAGGCTTCTAAGATCTAGTATCTTGTCATAAATCATGTTTTCCCGTGTTTCAAATTACAGTATTTCTCAAAAGGTTCTTAAGAAACATAATTTGGAAGTCAAATGAAGAAGTTCCATTAAACACCAGTAATGCATTATAATTCTCCTCTTCTTACCTGATGAAGTTTAATGGACATGCGGATTCCCGGGACGACTACTTTCCTTAGCAATTCCATGTCAGCGAAGATCCATTCATCTCGAATTGAAGAAATACGGAAATCTCCCTTAAATAGGGCATGCAATCCATAGAGGAATGACTCTAAATTACTGTTAGGATTGGAGATAAAGGTTTACGTATTTTGACAAAGAACTTCCATTACACTGATTCTTACATGTGGTTGTGCATCAGAATCATCTGGGAGTGTTTTGCAAATACAGACTCCAATGACTGTACTAATATCAGAACCCCTGAGTCAGACTCACAAGGGACAGGGGCCCTTTGACCTGGGATCCTTGTTTACGAACCACTATAAGAGTAAGTCCATGAAAATAAACAAGAGACAAAGTGTATAAGCCACAAAAGCTTACAGAGGGTCTAATGGAAAACATGTAATAATCACAAAAGAAATTTAAAATATGTAATATTGCTTAGTTCTAATTCATTCAGACGCTTATGTCAAGAAATTCAGCTTATATTTATACTCCCCCCAAATCTAATGTACTATGTTAACTATATTAAGAGCATAAATGCTCTGGATCAAAAAAAATTACAAGGAAATATGGAAAAACAAGAAGAGGTAACTCATTAGAAAAAGAGATGTAAAATGGGAGAAGACCAATCAAACTTTACGGGCGATTATTTTTAAAAATGTCTTAAATCCAGGAAACTCTCATTATCAGTAGTCATCCGCGCATGTGTGAATTTTAAAAGCCAGCCATTAACCACTAGGGAGAACTCAATTATGTCAGCAAAAGATCTATAAAAAAAACAGTATCAGAAGAGACTTCTGCAATCAATTAGCATAGAATGCTTCCATGAAAGGCTAATTCAGATTTATGTTATACAGCTTCTCCTACTCTCTTCCTGAAAACAGAAATGCCTTCCTTACCTGGACATATGGTGGGATGCAGTCCCCAGAGCTCTCCGTCCCAGAACACAAAGTCCGTAACAAAGAGTCACTAGGGATGAATCTTTGTCTACATCCAGTGGCTTGAAAAAAACAAAGAACACTCATTATCAGAAAGACATAAAGGTATTTAACAAATCAGAATAGCTAATAAATTAGAGGATGAAGAATTCAACTAATATATAAGTTCTAGGTCTTTAAATAGTTCTAATGAGACAAAACTTAACAAATCAGTGTAAAATGAAGTGTGAGTGTATATGAGGTGTTCCTCTGAAATCTTTAAATAAAATCTAATGCTTTATAATACTGGGACACACTTTTTAAAAAATCCTGACTTTTATAAAGTATTAGGATCTTAGCAAAACATCTCAAAGTACTTACTGGCATACATCATTCCTGATAATGTCCTCTCCTGAAAATACAATATTCTTTCTATTAATTAGTTGTTTTGGGACATAACCTGGCAAACAGGTTATTAGCAACAGCTGTGTTAGCCTACTAGTGATGATTACCAGAGTGAAGAAAATCAAATTCGTATCTGTGAAATACTGCTTCCCCTCAACCTCTCAATTTTTTTTTAAACAACTGAAGGTTTTCTTACCCAGATGGTCAGAAAGAAGAAGGTCTGGAAAAACTGACCTCCTAATAACAAAGGGGATATTCTTTCCATCTCTGAAAAAATGGACTCAAACAGTTACAAATGAAGTACATGAGCTCTACCTTTGCTCTTCGGGAAGAGCAGTACTCTATCCAGTTGAGGTAAATTACACAAAAACTCTCTCTGGATATGCCAGCCAGTCGATGGTCATAGTCTTCATCGATGTTTGGGTTAAATGTTGGGTCCACATCAACATAATTTCGATCTGCACACAGACGTAGTCCTTCCTGCATTGTCTCATTGGCTAGCCACTCCTCCAGTTTAGAAGAAGTTGTAACATAATAAATGATACCCTAATGGGGAAAGATTAAAACAACAACAACAAACCCAGGTTAAGCTACAGTTTGAATTAACTCCAATTCTTCATTAAATAAATTCCAATGGTTTATACTGATTGTATAACTAAAAAATATTTTATTCTAGCTCAATACTCTAAGAATGCATTTTAGGAATGCTGTAAAAAATATACCTCAGGCCTTTCTGGATGAATAGTTAATTTAATACTTTAAAAGTCACAACCATAAATTCATCAAGACAAATTCAAAACAATTTTTTTCTATTGATTTTAGAGCTTTTGAATTGAGGACATTTTAAGAGAGGTAGAAAAACTTTACTGTGATGCATTTCTCACAGAAAGTTACTAAATCATCTGGTGAAGCTAGATCAAGTTATAGAAATATAATAGTAAAGCAATAGAAATATACCTATTTAGAACCAGAGATAGAAAAACCCATGTACACACAGAGACGCATAGCACATAAAGAGTACAAACTCGATCTATTTAGCTTCCTGAGGTTGGGTTTAACCAACCATTAATTATAAGACTAACATCCACCCCAGTCAGCACAAGTAAGGTGGTACACAGAGGTAGTAACACAAATACGGAAAATACAGATATGGGTCACTAAAATTTAGCATACATTTCCCTCTTCAAAATACTGCTTTGCCTGCAAGCTGCCATATCATAGTTTTGCTATAATCTTGTAAAATCTTTAGCAAAAACAGAACACCTGTATAGTAACGAACTAACCTTACCCAAAGAGCGGTTTGGTCTTTGCCCTTGGGTCCTGGAAGGAAACTTCTACTCCTCTGGAATGTCTTTGTTCACCTATGAGCTTACAGCCATGACAGCTAGAGGAGCGGGGAACTAAGGCTGGTCATAGGGTAGTCAACCACATCTAAGTGACTACGCTCCAATAAAAGTACACCCCCAGGCTCAGGTGAGCTTTTTTGGTTGACAACAGCTGGGAGAAACAGGCATTATCTGCACAACTGCACTGACAGAAGACAAGTGGAAACTCATGCCTTCGTGTCTCTGGCCTCTGCCCTACACACCTCTTTCCTTGGCTGATTTTAATGTGTACCCTTCCACTGTAATAAACCCTAACCATGAGTGTAATGGTTTTGCTGAGTTTTTTGCGTCCTTCTGGCAAATTACCGAACCAGAGACTAGTCTGTGGGGATGCCAAAATTGCAGCTGGTGTCGCAAGCGAGGGTGGTTTTGGGGCCTCCCAACTCTTGCAATACTTTCATTCAGGTTATTGAAAGCAGCGCAAGAAATGGTTAGCGGCAAGGGCTCAGCAGCTGGACAAGCCTAGATTTAAAGTCCTTAACTCCACCTGCTAATTAGAGGACTCTGGGCAGGTAACTTCTGATTCTTGTTTATTTGTAAAACACAGAAGGAACTGTATGCATATTCCTTAGCCCAGTGCCTAAAACATATGAGGTACATATGGTAGCTATTATTCATGAACAAATGGAATGAGTTCCACTAAAGAAGGAAACAGCAATACCATAGTAGGTATACTTTACTGACTTAATGGATACTAGAGAATTTTTTTTTTTTTACAATAGACTCTAGCTGGGCATGGAGCCCAAAGTAGGGCCAGAACTCACAACCCTGAGATCAAGACCTGAGCTGAGATCAAGAGTTGGACACTTAACTGACTAAGCCACCCAGGCGTCCCAATACTAAAGAATTTAAATCACTACTTAGAAGCAAAGCACAAGTATTTTAAAAAAAAGTTTTTTCCAAGAAGATCAAAAGCTCTAACTGGGCATACAGCCTTACCTTGACATAGTAAGTGGTGAGTACTTTCCGAAGGTCAAAGACTTGGAGCATAGAGGCAGCACTGTTGTCAGTGATACTATAACCTTCCAGAATATACTTAGTGACGATCACTTCCCAAGCTAGCCAGCGCTGGCTAAACGCAGCATTAAATGAAAGCACATGAGGAATATGTCCAGGTTCACAACAGCAAAATCCTTCATCTTCTTCAACACCTTCAGTAATGGCCTCCACTTCCCGTTGTTGACAGTAAGTACCTTAGAGAGAGAGAGAAAGAGAGTGAGAGAGAGAGAGAGACCACTGCATACAATGGAGAAAAAAACCACATGCAGTAGAACATGAATGCTTCAAAGACACCAGAAATTTAGGGAAAAAAAACAACACACCTTTTATAGTAACTGAAAGTATGGGAGCGATCTGCCTTGGAATGTTCACTAACCAACGGCAGGAAGCTTGACACCAGGCATATTATATATTCACCTCCCGCAGAATCACTACATGCATTAGCACATTCCAGCTTCTGAAAACCTGCGCAGTTACCTTCTTTATTTTCACTCACTGATCCCAAACTTTTCAAACTTGGGTTTTCAATTGCAGTCATATCACATGAAGGCCAATGAGTAAAGGGATATCACATGACAGTTTGAGTTAACTCAGTAAGGGAAGAATGGATTTAGAAATGAATCATTGCAGGGCACACAACAGAGACAGACATGCAGAACCCAAAAGAATGGGAGCGCCATTTACCAGTACCATGTCCATGTGCCAAGAAGAAATATTATATACACGTATTTTTTTTTTAAAAAGATTTTATGTATTTATTTGACAGAGAGAGACACAGTGAGAGAGGAACACAAGCAGAGGGAATGGGAAAGGAAGAAGCAGGCTCCCTGCTGAGGTCAAACCCAGGACCCTGGGATCGTGACCTGAGCCACCCAGGTGCCCCCATATATATGGATATATGAACTGTAATGGTTCATGATAATTTTATCTTAAATTCATAATTACTTTTTCTGTTGCCAATTCCAACAGTAATTGGATAAAATTACATGATTGGCATTTGAAGCTTACCGGCTGATAAAGTTTCAATTAGCCATGAACTCTGATTATTCAACACTAGGAAACAATCCTTTGAAATTACATTCTTTTATATAAGATATTAGACATTCCCTGCATTACTGTTATTGAAGTAAAAATACAAAATCAGAATAAATACGAAATTACACCCACAGCAATCTAGTGCCAGTAAAATATCATCCGTCACATTAATGTTAACTTTTATTTTGTTCTGTGGCCTTGCTTCCACTTAAACAGCAAATTCCTTAAATTCTGTAAGGACTACAAGGGGATTACACTTAATTTTATAAAAGCACATTATTTCGGTTATATTATAATAACTTATGTGGACTTCACAATTTTTTTTTCCTTTAAAGAGAATATATACACCATCCATGTTTGAAAAACACTGCTTTTTTTTATTTTAAAGATTTTATTTATTTATTTGAGAGGGGGAGAATACTCGTGGGGGATAGGGCAGACAGAGGGAGAAGCAGACTCCCCACTCAGCAGAGAGCCCAATGTAGGACTTGATCTCAAGACCCTGGGATCATGACCTGAGCTGAAGGCAGAGGCTTAACTGACCGAGCCACCCATTCGCCCCTGAAAAACACGGCTTTGAGAGAAAAAGATGCCATGAAAACTAGCCGCAACTGGTAGTGGTGCTATAAAAGATAGAGGCAGAAGAGGTAGGCTGGGCCGGGCTATGAGCTGTGCTGTTTAACTCTCTACAACTCTCTCATTTCATTTCTTGCTTGATTACATTGCCGAGCGCATCCGGAACAATGTCACCCAGTGGTGGAAAGAAAAACCCTGGCTTAAACCTCACGTCAACAGCAATGCCCGCTGCAGTTGATCATTACACATGAGTGGGACTACAGATCTATATACACAAACTTTTTTTTTTCCCCAGAATAAAGATATGTGCAATTTTATAAAGTATTTTTCAAACCAATAATGGAAATGAAATTCAATCAAATGTCTGCTGGTATCTTCTGAGAGGATCATATTTTGTTGTTTTTCTCCTACAATCTATTAAAAGATGAGCTCTATCAATTTGCTAATATTAATTTCAAAAATAAAAAATGAAATGAAAATGGCTGAACTACTGAGAGGTAGGTATTAAAAAAAAAAAAGGGCTGCTGCTAATATATGCTTATTTGGGTTCTGAGGATTTTTGCATCCAGGCTCTCATGTGTTAAACTACACTTTTTTTTTGCCAGTTTAGCCATATTTTGACATCAGTATTACAGTGGCTTTGTAAAAAGCCTGGAGAAATTTTCCTTCTTTATCCATGCGCTGCAATAGGCTAGAGAGGGCAAACAAATTATTTGGTTTCTAGAAGAAACATCCCAAGGCTGGGGTTTTAAAACTGTGGCCTGAAGCTGGGTGTGTTCCTGAGATTTTCTGTGTTATTACTTCATTTTATTCATTTTGTCATCTTTCTGGAAGGTCAGTCAAAGGTTTTTAAGTAAAGGAGATGACATAATGAGAGCTGTTTTTGTGCAGATGACTTAAGAGTATACAGAAAAGATATGTGGCAAGAGGGAACTTGGAGATTGACATTTTCGCAGAAGACAGAATGAGATCCCTGTTCAGAGCAGCAGAATAGAGTGAACAGAGTAACTAATTAAAGTGGGATGTTTTTACTCTACCATACAAATCCCAAGAATATTTTCTACCACAACATGTCCTAGTAATAAATTGTGCTTAGGAAATGAAGTCAATGATAAGCATAGGAGTTAATACTGGCAACTGAAAAAAGAACTCTGAGACTTGGAAAGGGATTCTAGAATATCTGTAAGAACTATTTACCAACTGTTTCCTGGATTAGTTATGTCTTTCAGTCACTTCATAGTGACTATTATCAGTAAAACTAAAACTAGCAGTTATGAAAACTAGATATATTAAAAGTAATTTGAGTAAAAACTGAGCTGAATCCAATCAGCATAATACATTTTTGACCTATAAAGTTTGACCTGGAAAACTGTACATGGTTGAAGTAACATTTACAAACAGAAAGCACTGTAGAAGATACACTAAATTTTTGATAGACAAAAATGATTGATAATTAAATCTGACATAAAATTTACATAGAAAAGAATATGAGGGTATCAGTAATATAAAAATGGAAACTAACTGAAAATAAAGGGATTTAAAACCAAGACATACAGGAAACTGATGAAGAAATTTGTTTAGCTAAATATCATATAGCACTTAGCAACCACTACAAGATGCAATAAAATGAATGAATTAAATTGGCTTAGTGGAGAATACCCCAGAAAATATATTAAAATGCATCAGGAGATCCAAATATCTATCTGGCAACATACTGACACTCTCGAGTAATATTTTGAGAGGCAAGAGGTAGACGGGACAGGGAATAACTCTGAAGGAAAGTAAATAACCAACAATTTTAGGATCTGACCAAGAATATAATCATATCTCACAAGAATTCTGGAATGCAGAGGAAGGAGAAATAGCTATATACTTACATCATTTAATCATTCTACAAAATAAACTAATTATGTATTATATGCTAACTAATGAAGCAGCAACTAGATACACAGTGTTAATGAATGAAGCAGAAAGGATTCCCGCCCTTGAGGAGCTTATAATCTACAGCAAAGTTTGCAAAACATAGCCTTGGGCCAAATCCAAGCTAAGAATGGTTCTTATATTTTTAAAGTATTGTTAACAACAACAAAAACAACAAAAATCAAAGAAAAATATGCAACAAAAAACATGCATGCCTCCAAAAGCCTAAGCTATTTACCATCTGGCTCTTTAAGAAAAAGTTTGCCAACCCCTGGGCTCAAGAAGAAATAAACTTTAAACAAACACAAATAAATATGAAATTATGAAATTATACTTATGCTAAGTGCTAAAGAGGTAAAAATGTCAATCTGAGAGATAATCATGTGGGACAGGTAGTTAGAGAAGGCTTCTCTGACAAAGTGATATTTAGACTAAAGCTTAAAGATAATTAAGGAATTAGCCAGATGGAAGACTGGTGGGAGGAAGGGAGATGGCTGGTACTTTCTAGGCAAAGGGAAAGGCAGTCGGAAGTCCTCAGTAAAGAATTTTGCACAGTTAAGACCCTAAAGGAAGGCGAGTGAGGATGAAGGTATGAAATGGAGCTGCAGAAACTGGCAAAGACCAGATCACAGGGTAGGAGAACGTATTAAGGAGTCTGAATTCTATTTAAGTGCAATGGAAAGCTTCATGGACAGTTTTAAGCATGAAAGGGACATGATCAAATTTGCCTCAAAAAAAAAAAAATCACTATGGCTGAGTGAAGACTTAGAGATACCCACTGCTGTCCAAATCCACCACAAATTCAGACAGTAAGACGTACTGGGTTCCCAAATCACTTTGAGTTTTATTTGGCAAATAGAGTTTGAATGGCAAAAAATTTGTCCAAACTTTTATTTGAATCTACTCAGTATCAGAGACTGAAAGTTGGGAGAGTGAGAATTTGGATCAGTTTCTGATTTGGAGAATTTCTGACCAATACAGTAAAATGAGCACATCCTAAGAAGGACCCTTTTCCAATTCACACAGACAAAATGCTAGATACAACAGCTTCCCCATACACATCTGTTTAAAAAAAAAAAAAAAAAAAAAAGTTAAAAAACAAAGGTAAAATCTCCAGGTACCGACAATTTAAAAAAAAGGTGAAGTCATGGCAGTAGTAGGTGCAGTGGTGAGGTGAGGGGGTGCTGACTTTTGGATGAGTCCGGTTGGATTACAACTGAACATTAGGTAAGACTCTATAGAGATGGAATTAAGGTCCTGGGCTCTCGTGGAGAAGCAGAAACAAACCATAAAGCAAGGATAGGACATTTTGAGAGAGAGATTGGATGAAAAACATCACAAATGAATAACAAACATCAACATTTACTGCCTTCATCTGTCACACAAGTACAATCTTATTTCCAGTCAACTTTATTTATTTATTTATTTATTTTTAAAGATTTATTTGACAAAGAGAGAGAGGGTGCACAAGCAGGGGGAGCGGGAGAGGGAGAAGCAGCCTCCCTATTGAGCAAGGAGCCTGATGTGGGGCTTGATCCCAGGACCCTAGAATCATGACCCGAGCCAAAGGCAGATGCTTAACCAACTGAGCCACCCAGGTGCCCCTCCAGTCAATTTTAGAAAAGCACTTGCTCCATTAACAAAGACATTACCTAACAAAGGTCCAAACCTTCTGATTCAACACGAGTGTGAAAATAAAGCTATAGGGTATGAGTCTAATTTGATCCTCTAGCTGGCCTATTTTATGAGCCACCTTGGGTCATCTGGTTTGAACTGGCTTCTGTGGCTTCCTCACTTTGCAATACCGTCAGGACAGGCCTCTGGCCTTCCCAGAAGCTGGCCCTGGCTTCCTCTTGCCTGACTTTGAGGCATCCTCTTAGGACCTAACCAACTGCCTATTCTCACAGCTGTAGAACACTGTGAATGCACTAAATGCCACTGACTTGTTCACTTGAAAACTGTGATTTTAATGTTATGGGAACTTCACTTCAATACCAAAATTTGTCCAAAACAAAGGCATGGGGTCTACCTAAAAGTACTTGGTTAGCTACACACAAAACGCAGCACTCTACGCTCCAGCCATCCAACAAAGACATGCAACTTCTCACAAAGAGAATGGCAAGAGAGCAAGCACAAAACAACAGAAATTCAACATTGCCAGGGAAACAGTGAGTTACACAAGAATGATACTATCTTCACTTATTTTAGCATAACATAAAAACCATTTTTTTCTGAATGTGAAATCTGGGGAAAAACCTAATTGCTCTTTTAACAACACTTCTCATTCCACAACTCCAAAGGATCTAACTTTATGTTAATTTTTAATTTGAGATGTAAACACATAAAACTCAGATGTGACAGGAATACACTGCAGAAATTAAAGGTGAGTATCTTACCTCTGAATTCAAGTCCCCGCAGCTGGAAAGTGACCAACCCATTGCCTATCTCTATAAGGTGTACTAATGCATTGAGGTAGTCAGAGGCAAGAATGAAACAGTCGCCTGTACTGTAATTTCCCCATCGTCCTAGGAGCAAATCACCACAGAGACTGTGTTGTAGGGATCTGGTTAAATGTTCATAAAAGATGGAATTCAGATTGTTGTCATCTGATCCTATAAGAAGGAATTAAATTATGTTACATTTTACTCTAACTCTTCATTATATCAACAAACAGGATCGTTAAAAATATTAAAACTAATTTCCAGTTAGGATTGTATCTGTATTTTTTTGACAAGGAAAATATTAACACTCTTACAATTCTTATATAAAAATGAAACACAGGGTAATGAGAAAGCTTTCAGAATTTAGAGTTAGAAGTCACATAACTTCTCGGGTCTCTGGCTCCCATTCATAATATGTGCGAACTAGATTAGATGAAATTGAAGGGTTTTCACCTCTTCAATAACCATGATCTCTTCTATCACTATTCAATGAACTCCAACTTATAATGAAAACCGCACAAGAAAAATGAAAAAGATAAAAGGAATTCAGGATTGGAACAAAAAGATACATTAATAAAGAAAGTGGATAAAGGAATACCAAATTTGAACAAACAAGACAGTCCAAAATGAACAGAAGTTGGTTAAAAAAAAATAGTTAAATAATAATAACAATAACAAAAAACCCTGAATATTGAGATGGCTAAAACTAGCATAATAAAAATAAAAACATAATAAAAATTTAAAAAATAAAAATAAATTTATTAAAACTTGATAAAAATTAAAGAAATAAAAATTTAAAAATAATATATCTATAGAAACAGCAGCAAAGAACCTATAAAATTTATTAGAGTCATCCTTTAAGAAAAAAATTAAAATAAACTAACCATTTTTAGAAGTAACCCATCCAAAGCAATAATCTGTAAACAGGTGCCCAGTATAATACTGGAGGAAAGCAAAATACACAAAGCTTATTCTTTTAAAGTCAGTCTAAACAATAAAATAATGAGAAGGGTACTCCAGATACTAATTCAGTAAGATGGTCATATCTAATGCCCTGTCTGCTCATTACAGAACTGTGCATGTTAATCAGGATACGGTCTCTTTGATAAGCAGGATGGCGTCGTTAGCATCATGAGAATTCTAAGCCCCTTACACAAGGACACACTAGAGCTGAGATGGTTGTTTTATCTACCAGAATGTGATAATGACAGGCGTTATTATCAAGTAACTAGTCCTACTAGTCCAATTTATAACTATAAAACTATCTGATTATTGTTAATTTGGTTTCTCAAGTAGAGCAGTTGAAGGGATCAGCATTTGAAGGAATTTGACAGTCAAATGGATATAAATACTACAGTCTGAGAGTAAGATTTTTTTAGATAAATTAATACATTGGAATTCTGGTTAATTTCTTATGGTTGGATTAGTGAGATTCACCCTCTGTGTGTCCGATTACTAACAGGTGGGCAGACAAAAGGATGTTTCCGAAACAATGAAATGAAGAAACCAGACTTTAGACAATGGTACCACCACCAAAATGCCATCCACTGAAGCTCTATCTTAAGGGCTATTTGGCTGCCCCATATGACATCTCTACATTCCATAAACTAAATGAAATTAAATGAATATTTACCTAAACATCTGGGGAAGCAGGGGAAGCAAATATATTAATATATCTGTTGGTCAGACTGCATATTCTTTAATACACTTGACCAGTTTTACTTTAACTGCTCTACTTTTTAACCTATGTAAGAAAAATCTTTGAATGGCATTTTTTTATTCCTACGAATATTCTTAAAATGCATTTTATAGAAGATGGGTATATACATTGTAGATACTTGAGCTCATACTTTGCTAAAGTAGAACAAGAAGCTAAGGAGATACAGTGTTTAAAAAATGACTGTTTGGAACTCAGAGGATTCTCAACAAGTTAGGAGTGAACTAAATACCTAACAAATTCCTTGGACTTGCTTCTTTACTCATAAACAGAGCTTTTACCTGGATTTCTATCAAGCTGGGAAGCCAATCTGGTATTTGAATGATCCACCCGTTTTGTGCTGAAGAAGGCAAAACAGAACATTTTTAATAAGCTTTAATGAAAAAGGAGAAAACTACACAATATAAATAAAATAAACATTATCACTTCATGAACATCTCTGAAAAAACTCTATGATTGGCATACTGATAAAATTCCTGGGGCGCCTGGGTGGCTCAGTGGGTTAAAGCCTCTGCCTTCAGCTCAGGTTGTGATCCCGGGGTCCTGGGATCGAGCTCCGCATCGGGCTCTCGGCTCAGCAGGAAGCCTGCTTCCCCCTCTCTCTGACTGCCTCTCTGCCTACTTGTGATCTCTGTCAAATAAATAAATAAAATCTTTTAAAAAAAAAATTCCTTAAGTGTACTTTCAGGTGGAAGGTTTTTTACTCACTCACCTCCATCATCCATAAACAGCCATTATTTCCTAACTGATGATTCAATGAACAGGGTGTGGAAAGACATTAATGAGTTTAATCCACCCCCCAAAATTTGATCAGGATGAAATATGCATTCTACATGCAGTTCTTAGAAATACATGAAACATTCTGCACAAGGAGAAGGTACATTTATTATGTCCAGCTGTACAGTGTTCTTAGAACAGTGGTTTCCAAAACGTGGCCCACAGAATCTGAAGCAGGGGACTTAAGACCCTTTTAGGGAGTTTTCCAGATCAAAATGATTTTCATAATAACACTGAGCTGTTACTCACTTTTTTCACTGTGTTGACAATTGCACTGATGGTGCAAAAGTAATAGGGTAAGGCTCCAGGCACTTTAACATGAATCAAGACAGTGGCAGCAAACTGTATTTTTTTACTGCCACATATGTACAAGAAAAAATAAAAATTCAAGTTTTGCTTTAAAATCTCTTTAATGAAGCAATAAAAAACTAGTTTTATTAAATCACAACCCACCCCTCAGTACAGGTCTTTTTAAAATTATGTGTAACAAAATACACATAAAGCACTTTTTTTTTTTTTAAGATTTTATTTATTTATTTGACAGAGAGAGATCTCAAGTAGGCAGAGAGGCAGACAGAGGGGGGTGGAGAAGCAGGCCCCCCTGCTGAGCAGAGAGCCTGAGGTGGGGCTTGATCCCAGGACTCTGAGACCACGACCTGAGCCAAAGGCAGAGGCTTAACCCATTGAGCCACCCAGGCGCCCCCACATAAAGCACTTCTGCTGCATTCTGAAGTAGGATGGTTGTCTCAAGGGAAGCATTCGTGTAGTTGGAACCGTAAGCTGCACTAACTCTTTTTCATGGAACGCCATCTTCACTATGATTATTCAGACTGACATACTTGACAGACATTTCTCAAAAATAAAGAAAGTGGGTCTGTCCTGCTGCCAATAACAAAATTCAAGTTTCTAAGCAAAAATTTGAATTTGGGAAAATGTATATATATTTAACCAACAAGCTTGACAGCTTAGCAATACTTAAACACATTTTTTTAGAGATGGGTGGTGATGTGAATGAATACATTTTTTAAAATTATATAATGAAATGTATCATGATCTTGATCAAGAACTGTAAGATCTACATTACCCAGTGAACCAATATTTTTTAATGATTAATAAATGCTGTTATAAGATTATGCATGGGTAAAAAAATCCATTCGAAGTGTAAGACACATCAGTGAATTTTGATGTAACACAGTTCCAAAAATTCATGGGGCCAAGGGGAGGCCACCACAAGATGGGTCACTTGTACATGAACATTATTTTGAGCTACAAGCAATCAAGGGGCACCTGGATGGCTCAGCCAGTTGAGTGTCTGCTTTTGGCTCAGGTGATGGTTCCAGGGACCTGGAATTGAGCCCTGCATCAGGCTCCCTGCTCAGCAAGGAGCCTGTTTCTCCCTCTCCCTCTCCCTGTCTCTCTCTCTCTCTTTCTCTCATAAATAAATAAATAAATAAAATCTTCAAAATAAAAAAAAAATTAAAGCAATCAAAACCCAGTAGATTCAGGAAAAGATCTTTACCCCCCCCTCAATTGCTTGCTTGTATCTATTAATAGATTCCTCTTTACCTAAGAAACTTATCTACAGAGTGGGACAACCTTTGTTTTCCAAACACCTCTTTTCACCTTCTTGCTAATGATCTTTCTCCCCTTTGTAACCTAAGACCCTTAGCCTTCTCCTTAGCTCACAGAAGCACCATGTTACCTGTCTTTGGAATTTCCATGTCTGTGTGGATTCCCCACATGTGTACACTAAATTTGATTTTCTCCTGTTTATTTGTCTCATGTCAATTTGATTCTTCGTTGAGCTAGAAGGATCTTGAAGGGCAGAGGAAATTCTTTCTTCTTCCCCAACAATAGATACTTTTTTAGACTCTAACTGCAACTTTTAATGAAGGATCAAAGAAAAATATCCACAATTGTCTAAAAAGGCTATTAAAATACTTCTTTCTTTTCTAACTATATGTCTGCATGAGGCCAGATTTTCTTCATATACTTCAACTAAAACAACATATTTCAAGAACAGATTGGCTGCAGAAGCAGATATGAGAATCCAGCTGTCTTTTACTGAGCCAGGCATTAAAGAGATTTATAGAACTACAAAAACAGTGACACTCTTCTCACTGATTTTTTTTTTTGGTGGGATGGAAAATATAGTAATTTTCATTACAAAAATATTATTTATATTAACACATAATGAATTTATTATTGCTATTTTAAACTAATAAACATTTGAATTTTTCCAAGTGTTGATTTCTAATACAGTAACTATCTGTAGATAAAACCTGTATCAACAAAAACTTGTTGGAGACTTTAATAACTGTGAAGAGAGTAAAGGGGAGCGCCTGGGTGGCTCAGTGGGTTAAGCCTCTGCTTCAGCTTGGGTCATAATCTCAGGGTCCTGGGATCGAGTCCTGCATCGGGCTCTCTGCTCAGTGGGAAGCCTGCTTCCCCCTCTCTCTGGCTGCCTCTCTGCCTACTTGTGATCTCTGTCTGTCAAATAAATAAAATCTTAAAAAAAAAAAAGAGCGAGAGTAAAGGGGTCCTTTGACAAAAACTGCCACCACAGGCATTATTTTGGGCTCAATTTAAGTTAGCTGGGAAGAACAGAATATAAATAACACTGAAATTCATCGAAAAGAGAAACACCATGTGTGATTTTAGATAAAAGAGCAAAAGCTTCAAATTCCCAAGCTAGTCCATTGTTTAAATGGTGAGACTACTACTCTCACCTATTATATATGCTAATGTGTCAAAGTATAGAAAGAAAAGAAGCAGTCATGAAGATGGCCTGTAGAATTAAAAATATAAGCTCTTTCCAAATCAATATGTTGATATACGTTAAAAGGTTTAAAATGTGTAGGCTCCATGACTCAGTAATTCCCCTTTCGGATAATCTTTCTTAAATTAAAAAAAGAAAGAAAGAAAAAAAGAAAGGAAGGAAGAAATAAATAAATTCACCTGGAGAGATTACATGTCAGGACAGTTAGCAGGCATCATATAGAACAGCTAGCCAAAGGTACTAAATCTAAATGGACAAAATACTTTATGTACAAAAATGGATCATTAGGAAGTTATTCTCCTGAAAAGCCAGAAATGATCTACAGAAAAGTAAGCTCTGCAAATAACTATTTCTAAGAAAACTATGAGATAACTAATTTTGACTGCCATAATGAAATGACATTGTATAGCATGAAGTTTCAGAGCAGTATTAATACAGAACCAACTCAAAAGAAATAGCATTAAAAGAAAAATGAGTATACTCAACAATAACTAGGTTTTTAAAAAAATCTTTTAAAAAAATCAAAGAGAAAATATAGAGTAGTTATTCTGACTCTTCCAATTTTATGATTTTGAAACTTTAAGAGTATTTATAAAATAGTTTCAGCAAAATATTTCAACACAAAAAATTGTTAGCCCTGAATTATTATAATAATGCTGTTGATAGTTTTTCTTAGTAAAGAATAGATAAAATCTACTTTCAAATGTTTTATTGTACTCACTTATAGTCTCTCTCCCAGAATTTCACAGGTCGAACATATGAAGTGATGAATATTGCACTTCCCAGAAAGGGATTTAGTGGAGTAGAAAAAAAGGCAGATACAGCAGCCTGAACAAACAACATGGCTGAATCTATGAAAAAACTGGTTAAGGATTTTAACATTCACCTGAGTGAGCACACGTGTGTGCACTCACACACACACACATACATACATCTCACAAACATACTGCAATTACAGCAACGAGAACAATGAGGTTCATCAGAGGAACACAAAAGAGGGTGTCATGGACAATATAAGGGGGTACAAGCAGAAAGACACAGCCAGGAAAAGTATACCCTGGCATGATGCTTTGAAGGGAATCAGATAAGTATTTGCTAATATGTATTTGGTAAAAGTCCATACACTAACTCTTGAATAAATATGTCTGGGTTTAATTTTCCCAAAGATCAAACTAAAATTTACAGATATAAGAAGTCTGCATTTCAATATCCAGGTGGTCACTAACCTTTACTTTTATTTAGAAAGTACTTTTAAGAAATGATTAGAATAGAACATTTTAAACATAGTTCAAATACAATCATATGATTATGAAAAATGTTTGTATCTTCATTCATTTGAAAATATTGCTAAACATTTTGTATTTATTTAAAAATTCCTAGACTTCAGCACACATGTATACATAAAATTGTAAATCAGCATTGCTTAATCATAAAATCTTAATACTGTCCTCGTGTTCAGAGGATCTATGGGTCACAGATGTTAATATAAGTTAAATGATCAAAATCAGTACAGATGTGGACTCAAGACTGAGAATATTGATAATTTATCACCTAGTAACCGATCTTCTATACCTATAAAAGGTTACGCCTACAAACCGACATTCACGTCAAGGATGTGACTGCCCTTTCTTACACAACTTTTATTGGAAGGATACGGGGCACGGCAAAGGGCTGAGCAAAAGCATGGAAAGCAGAACCCCATGTAATTTGCCAGGGGGCAATGTAAGTGTATACAAACTGCAACTTATAAAGGAGTTCCCAAAGCTGTAGGAGGAAAAGGAAAACAATCAGTAAAAACCTTATCATCAGGTACTTGAATTAGAAAAGGAAAGACCTCTAAAAGTTTTTTTTTCTAATAGAAAAATGCCATTGAAATTATGTGCCATTTGCATAAAAGGAAAAGACGTGTCAACTGCCAAAACACTGGATATATATTTAAGTAAAGACAGCAAGCTGATTTATGAGCCTGTGGTTCACCTGTTTAAACAACTCTATGCCCTCTATTGGTTATATTCCTACTACTACAAGCAGAACATAGAAAGGTAGGATCCTAATCTAGATGTTTATAAAGCTTCAGAAATTCATACATATTTTTATTCTAAGACACATTTTCCTCACATTTCGTGTTTTGAAAATTGAGTATGTTTTTTTTAAATGCAATGTTATAAGAAGTGTGAGAGCAGCCAGGCAGGAAATAAAGTTGGAGTACAGCTGTTAGTCAGTGCCTGTCTGCCCAAGACTGAGTAGTACGTATTAGGCATCTGTTCTTAATTTCAATTGTGACAGTCAGTGGAAACACAACACACATTTTAACGTTACATAAGTTAGGATTTGCTTTGTTGTTGAGCACGTCCTTGACACTGGCTCACCTAAACTGCTTCTGTAACTCAGGCAATGCAAGGCCCAACTCACAGAACAGACACGGGATCTTGGGGCAGGAGGTTCAAACTAGTTCGGTGCCACGACTCAGGCACTGAACATCTCATACTTAAATTGCTCAATCAATTGCAAACGAACCTGTTTAACTTTCAATTTAAAAAAAGAAATTACAACTTCAACCAATTACAAAATGCAGATGAACTCCTGCATTCTTTGCCATGATTCTAAATTATGCCGGTAATCCTTGATCAGGATGTGATCAGGATAAGAGAAGTAAAAGCAGCATTTGTATTATCAAGATGCCACTGTAACTGCCTAAAGCAGCACTTTAGAAAACTAAACTTCAGGTTCTAAATGTGAACCAGAATGAACTCAAATTTTGACTGTAATGTTGAAGAAAAAATGATATGCAGTTGCACAGATAAGTGATTAGTGGGTAAAAGCACTTTTGTATATATTCATAATTTTTTCTGTAAGATTAGTTAACTGATGCTGCATTTTACAATGTTCTTTAAAAATATATTAGAGATCTCTTGAAAATTATTTGCTTGCTATCATTGTTAAGTTCTATCAGCTAACCTTACATAATGCAGTCCTTAAGGGCAGAGCTTTCCCTATTTGCTCACTGATCTAAACAGTTCTGGAGCACTGTATGCACTGAAGGACAATTTGTTTAACAAATGAAAGTATTAAGAAAATCCAAACTAATACAAATTAAGTCCATTTCAGAGATTGTTTCTATTTTATTGAAATTTTCCCTTTTTTCCCAACCAGAACAAGATGCCATATAATTTTCAACCTAAATATTTAAAATTTTGAGAGACCACAGGCTTCTTTATACAAACAATTCTTTAACTTTCTGTCTTCCTCCTTTGGTTAACCAAGCTCACTAGAAGAAGAAATAAATGATAAAAATGCATACAAATTAGTGATTGAACAAATATAATACTGCAGTATTTTAGAAGCTACTTAGTACAATATTTAGCACAATATTTTGAAATTGACTATCACTAAAACCTTGTTCAGATTAATGGTTTTACATTTGTACTGTTCCCACCCTAGGTTACATCTTCTATCACATCTAAATTACTGTCACAGTCTCTTAAACTGTTCTCCGTACCTTTAGGTTCTCTCTTCCCCAATTCATCCCAAATGTGGCTGACCAGGCTAACTTGCCTAAAATTGGGCTTTCATTGTGTTTTGTAGCTGTCATATGCTTCAGCTCTCTGTTACCTATCAAATGGGATAATATATGTCAAAGTCCTTTGTATGTGGTCAGTGTTAACATGAACTCTAAATTTAATTTAACTTACAAATAATCTGACTCACAACCTATTTCATTTAGAAAGGTAATATGGTTCAGTAAAAAGATTCTTAAGGAGGCAGAAGACCCAGGTTTTGCCATCTCATTTGTAAAAGGACTAAAAGTACCTCTCTTAGGGGTAGATAATAAATCTTAGAAGCGTTTTGTAATTTTCAGAATATCCTACAAATGTTAACATCAAACTCACTTCTGATTCTTCCCACACGGCCTCACTGGCCTCAGCATCTAACATCTTCATTCAGCTATCAGGTTATTTCCTCCCTCTGTCTGTCCAGGAGCCCAAAGCTCAGTTCCATTATTACCATGTCTATTTCTAAAATTATTCAAAACCATACCCACTTTTAGAAGAGCCTAATACTTAAAAATACATAGCTAATGGTGTTTCTCTAATTTTTCTATATAACTTAATCTTATCTTCCTACCTATAACAAGAAATATGTCTTTTATGGATCATAGCGACTAGCATTATCTAGGGATTCTAAAATGCTCCTAAGTAACTGCTTGATTGAAGAAAGGTATTACTTAAAAGATAACAAAGCAAATGAAATGCAAGCAGAATCCTCACTGAACAGTGTATTACTTAGGGCGATACTTTTTACAGATAGGGATATTCCATTCAGTGATAAATTACCTTGTTGAAGAGTATGGACATGAAGAAGAGATCCAACAGCATAGTCTCTGAAAATGCTTCATAGTCAATTTTGAAAAAGAGCACAGTAAAGATGACTGTAACATACTGATATGTAGGGCTGCTAAAAGAGGACCGTAGCAACTTCAGACCAGCAATGGTGATCATTAAAGCACCTAATCTATAATATAAAGAAAGCACCACTCATCAATCAATGACTGAGAACTTCAGAAAATCTACTAACTTCAGAAAAATCACCATTTCATTAGCCATGCTTACAAAATATATGTATCAAATTGTAAACTTCAGGAAATCGCATCCGAAAATAAACTACTATAGTATTTCCTTTTAACAATATGTAATGTGATTCTTATTCCTTGATATAAATAAGCATGTTTAAAAAAATAAATAACAGTACTGCAATTCTAATATATGGTTCTCCAGTTTCTGGGTATTTTTATTGCTTTACTATTGATAGCATTTGGCATGTAAAAAACATGTATTAAGGCTTACCCAACAACATGGACCTAGCCTAGTGGGTAGGCTTACAGGATGGCCGCACAGCCAAGTGATCAACGATATAGCCTCATTTACACAGTACACAAAACCAGGCATCTCTCAAACTTGCCATTTAAAATTAAAACTTAACTTTATTTAATAAATGTCCTCTCATAAAATATCAGTTGAGGATAAGATGTCTGGAGTGGTGATATACAAGAGTGGAAACAGATGGGAAGTTAAAGACACAGTATCACCTGAATTTTTTTTTAATCTCACAGTGCACTGCACCAAAGAGACACTCAATTAGTGCTCCTTGATCAATGTCTTAGGACATTGCTTAGGACAGCCCCTAGCAGCTAAACATAGATGAGAGGAGTATTGTACTTACTCTGTATCCAGTTTTTTTGGACTAGCAATTGTCTCTGCACTGCTACTGAGTTCATTGAGAACAATCAATGGATAGATGATATTCTTCTCCACAAAAAGAAGCCACACGTGAAGTTTCTCAAACCACATCATAGTGGCTGCATCTAACAAGGCAATGTAAGAAGATCACATCATCTACTGTGTAAAATACAGGCACACCTCATTTATTGTGCTTTACTTTATTCTACTTTCCAGATCTCCATTTTTTACAAATGGAAGCTTTATGGAAACCCCGTGCTGAGTAAGTCTATCAGCACCATTTTCCAACAGCATTTGCTCACTTCAAGTCTTTCTGTCACATGTTGGTAATCCTTGCAATATTAAAACTTTTTCATTATAATTATATTTGCCATGGTGATTTATGGTCAGTGATCTTTGATGCTACTGTTGTATCTGCTTTGGGAATACATGAATTGTACCCATGTAAGAGGGCAAACTTAACCAATAATGTATGTGTTCTGACTGCTCTGCTGACCAGCTGTTCTACCATATCTCTCCCTCCTTTCAGGCTTTCCTATTCCCTAAGATTGAAATTAGGTCAATTAATAATTCTACAATGGCTACTTATAAGTGTTCAAGTGAAAGGAAGAATTACACATCTCTCATTTTTAAATCAAAGGCTGGAAATGATGGTAAAAGCCAAGACGGTAGTGCCTGGGTGGCTTAGTTGGTTGAGCATCTGCCTTCCGCTCAGGTGATGATCCCAGGGTCCTGGGATAAGGTTAGGTCGGGTTCCCTGTTCAGACGGGAGTCTGCTCCTCCCCTTCCTTCTGCCTCTGCCCCAACTTGTGCTCTATCAAATAAATAAATAAAATCTTTAAAAAATAAAAAAAAATTTAATTAATAAAAATAATAAATAAATGCCAAGATAGGCCAAAACCTAGGCCTCTTGTGCCAAACATTAGCCAAGTTGTGACTACAAAGGAAACGTTCTTAAAGGAAATTATGGAGGAAGTGTTTGTGGTCTGCATAGAAGATCAAACCAGTCACATTCCCTTAAGCCAAAATAATCCAGAGCAAGGCCCTAACTCTCTTCAATGCTGTGCAGGCTGAGACAGGTGGGGAAGCTGTAGCAGAGAAGTCTGGAGAAGCCGTCGCCGTAACAACGAAGTGCCAGGTGAAGCAGCAGGGGCTGACGGAGAAGCTGCAGCAGGTTCTGCAGAAGGTCCACCGAGATAAGTAAGGAAGGTGGCTACAGATTTTCAGTGCAGACTAACCAGTCTTCTACAGCCTTTTGCTGGAAGACGATGCCACGCAGGACTTTCATAGCTAGAGAGAAGTCAATGCCTGGCTTCAAAGCTTCAAAGGCCAGGCTGATTCTCTTGTTAGGGGCTAACACAGCTGGTGACTTTCAGTGGAAGCCAGTGCTCACTGGCCATTCCGAAAATCCTCAGGCCCTTCTAAATGATGCTAACTCTACTCTGCCTGCGTACTACAGATGGAACAACAAAGCCTGGATGACAGTACATCTACACATGACATAGTTTATTGAGTATTTCAAGCCCACTGCTGAGGCCGACTGCTCAGAAAAAGAGATTCCTTTCAAAATGATGCTCTAAGCAATTTTACTAAAAGGTCCAGGAAATTTGCTTTGAGAATGCATAGTCAAGTCTGATACAGAAAGCTTTTAAAAGCTTTAGAATTCTCTGAACAATTAATCTCCAAACAATTGAGGAATTTACTGTCATAATTCACTAACTAAAGAAAAAGTCTTAGGAAAAACCACTGGCTTATTTAATCACAGATATATAATAAATGATGACATAGTTAGGAACTTTTATTATTTCTCTAAAATGAGAAAGTATGGCATACCACAGGTCACGGGGCCAATGAACAAAGACCAACTACTTAGGATGGGAAGAAAAGATTCCTGCCTCCTTCTGAGTCAGTTTATACCTTATCCCACATCTGAAGAAGTAAAAACAATTACAAGTGTTTTAAACTTCTTTTCAACTGATCTACTCTTACACCCTTCTCTAGTAGGACATAGTGTCACTGGTGGAAACAGAAACAAAGTGCTCTCTATTTCCCCTATGCTTTGAGTTAAAAATACTTCAAACAGAAGTCTTAAGGAGAACTGGATTGCCTATATATAGAAAAGAACATTTAGGGAAAGGGTAGGGACTGGAAGGGAAGCCACAGACATGCACAGGATTCATCAATGAGAGGTCTGTGAAGAATAACATAGAAAGGAAGTAATTTTATTTTGTGGAAGTTAGCATTGTGGTACTGACATTTATACTTCAACTGAAATTAAAGCATCCTGCAAAAGGTCTGACTCATCACAACTTCAAATCTAAGTATAACAAACACAAGCCAATATGTTACTTGATGATACTTATTTAACCGTCATCTGCTAAAGTAAAAAAAAAATCGTAATATTAAAAAGAGCAGAGTTAACAAAATACTTACTCCGAACTTCGTACTGGTTGTACTCCACTGTCTTCAGCAGAGGGTGGGAGAAGCAGTGCCATGGCAGCTGTTTTCTAAGCTGAGGCAGCACATAATGGGTTACAAAACCCACGAAGCCGACCAATGCATACAACACATACTTGAGAGCAGGCTAAAAGCAGAATAAAATTAGGAAAATTAAAAGTAATTTTGAGATTTATAGGAACTTCTAATTTGTCAGTTCAATCTTCCAATTATTAATAGAAAATAGCAAAGTGAATTTTTTTATTTTTTTTTTTAAGATTTTATTTATTTATTAGACAAGAGATCACAAGCAGGCAGAGAGAGAGGAGAAAGCAGGCTTTCCGAGGAGCAGAGAGCCGGATGTGGGGCTCGATCCCAGGACCCTGGGATCATGACCTGAGCCGAAGGCAGAGGCTTTAACCCACTGAGCCACCCAGGCGCCCCGCAAAGTGAATTTTTGAATCTAAGAACCAAACATCTGTCAACAGTTAACACTGCTTTCTTATGTGGTTTTTCCAAAACTTGTACCAGGGTTGCCCTATATGATCCAAAGGTACAGAAGAAGTGGTGGTATGTCACATCTGACATCAGTTATAAAGGACTGATGCTTCTGTCCTGGGCTTTCTCTCTCTAGGACCACTGGCTCTGGGGAAAACCAGCTACCCTTTTTTGTGGATACTGGAGCAGCCTATGGCGAGGGCCACATGGAGAGGAACTCAGATCTCTGGCCAATGGTCAGCAAAGAACTAAGGCCTGCCTCAGCTGATGGCAGCCCCATGACTGCAGCATCATAACGCAGCCTGAACTGGGATCATCTAGCTAAGCTACAGATTCATAACCCAGAGAAACCATGAGAAAATAAGTATTTGTTGTTAAAACTAAACAAACAGAAAGTCATATATTTCAGCATTACTGACAAATATTACAGTCAAACAAAAAATGAGTCGAAACAGTTATTTCCCCCCATCCAAAGATCAAAATTCTTTACCTGCAACACTGTGAACACTGTGCTTACATGAATAGCAAAATACAGCACACCAATTACGATGCATACTACTAGGTCAGACTGTAAACGCTCACTCTATGGAACAAAACAGAATTATCCAACAATTACATAAAATTTAAAAATACATATTTCTTTTATTCCCATAAAGAAATAATTTTTCATTGATCCTATTCTTCTAGATAGTTTTTATACATAATAATTGGCTATTAATTTTTCTTTCCCAATTTCCTGATATTTTGGTTTGAAACTGCAATATCAAGGAAATGAAAGTAGTTCTACACACTGTATAACATATTAAAACAAAGCCTTTTATTTGTTTTATTTTAAAAGATTTTATTTTTAAAGTAATCTCTACACCCACTGTGGGGCTTGAACTCACAACCCTGACATCAGGAGTCCTATGTTCTACTGACTAAGCCAGCCAGATGCCCCATAACAAAGTCTTTTAGAATGAAGATTTCCCCCCCGCCCATTACTCTGTAAATTTGATTTTTTACATATGGGAAAAGGAAATGAGGTACTTAAGTTACTATACCAGTTATAGGGGATATTCTTTTGGATAACAAAGTTATATTTTCATTGATTTTTTTAAGATGTTGAAACTGCATGTCCTATTTTACTTACTAGATTTTGATTCTTTTAGTGGTTGTAGTAAATCAAAAATCTCTCAGTATCTTGACTGGTCATCAACTGACCCACAGATTTATGCTAATTTTAAGCTACATTTAGAAATCTCTTACCATATTTAACATGAAATGTCCTTGCTAACATGGAAACTAAAATCAGAAAAAATTGTTTGAATTCTATCCTGAAGCAGTTTTGTATTTCTAAAGTTTCTGAGAATACATGAAGAGCTCAAGTTCAGTAAAGGTAAATATTATGACTAATTCAAGACCCATATAAATGGGAGTTTTTCACAAGTAGAAATAATCTAAAGTAACTTAGAAAAAAAAAGTTTTATGCTTTGTTCCATAAAGCAGATATAAATTTATAAAATTAATTTTTCAAATAATTACTAAAAGAATACAGACAACATTGAATTCACTAAACTAGAAAACTTAAATTGCTACATTTTCTTAAATATATTAAATTAATACAGATAACTGCTCTCTTCTTCAATCTGAAAAATAAACACACATACAATTTTCGGATTGCCCTAGAGGAATAAATCACACTGAAACATTAGCTGATGATTTAAAAGGACATAGTTTTATCAACAAGAACAATAACAAAAAACAATTTATGTTAAAATATGCATCTTTCAAATCCTAGTTTAAACTGATTAGGATTAAGAATTCTATAAACAATGAAATTACTTCATTTTACCTACTCGGAAAATGAACGTTTAGCATACTTTTTACATAGAAACAACCTTTGAGAAATGAGCATTTCTTAACAGGTTAAAATTTGACATAAAGGCAGTCAACTATATACACCTGTTCACACATTTTCCCCAATTTTGAAAGGCCTTCATTATATAAAATGATGAACTGTCTAAAATTTAGATCTTTCAGGTGACTGTAAAAGCTAAAACTTACAACAGAATTTCTAAGTTTTTCAGGCAGTGGATCTTTTACTTCAGACAGAGGGTCTTCTGGATTTTTCTCTTCTGTTTTTGGAAAAATCTTGGATTGCACCAAAGAGCTTTAAATTAAAAAAAGAAAAAGAAAGAAAAAGAATTAGTAAAAAATATATTCATAACCTGATAAACTTCATTTGTCATTTGAAGTACAGGTTATGATAAAAAATCAAGTGTTCCAGGGGCGCCTGGGTGGTACAGGTTAAGCATGTGGTGGTCGGTTAAGCATCCAACTCTTGGTTTCTGCTCAGGTCCTGACCTCGAGGAGTCTGCTTGAGATTCTCTCTCCCTCTGCCCCTCCCACTCATGCACGTGTGCTCACTCACTCTCTCACTCTCTAAAATAAATAAATCTGGGGGGAGGGGGGTTGGGGGGTGGGGTGGGGTTATGGACATTGGGGAGGGTATGTGCTATGGTGAGTGCTGTGAAGTGTGTAAACCTGGTGATTCACAGACCTGTACCCCTGGGGATAAAAATATATGTTTATAAAAAATAAAAATAAAAAAAAAAAAAAAAAAAACACTGCTATTAGGTATGAGCACATACCTAAAAAAAAATAAATAAATAAATAAAATAAAATAAATAAATCTTTTTAAAAAATCAAGCATTCCAAGTATATTTAAACTTAGCAAATGATAATGTCTAAAGAGTTTACAATGCTATAAATAAGCATACAAAGAGCGTATTTTTTTTTTAATTTTTTATGGGTTTTTTTTTAATTTTTTTTTAAAGATTTTTATTTATTTATTTGACAGAGAGATCACAAGTAGACAGAGAGGCAGGCAGAGAGAGAGAGAGAGAGGGAAGCAGGCTCCTTGCTGAGCAGAGAGCCCGATGCGGGACTCGATCCCAGGACCCTGAGATCATGACCTGAGCCGAAGGCAGCGGCTTAACCCACTGAGCCACCCAGGCGCCCCCAAAGAGCGTATTTTTATTAAAATATATTTTTAATACCTCTTAAGAGAGAAAATACAAATATTCCCAGCCAAACTGATTAGAATGATCCAAAATTAATATATTTGAAACCTAATATAGATTAAGTCAACAGCACTTTGACAAGGCAGTGGGAAAACAGATCTTGAAAGTTAAATTTGAAAGAAATGTGAACTTACTTAAACTTCTTTAATTCAATAACAATTTATTTCACTTACAAAAGTACAGATGGATCACTGCTTTGTCGGCTGAGATGATACGATATTGCCACTAACAAACCACAAAAAACGGAGAAAAGTACTGGAATATGCTGGCCATCCCAGGAATCCTGTTGGGAAAAAAGTTTCATAGAACAATATGCATCTTTTTTATCATCTATCATATAATTCTTTTATGTCAGTATTTTAGAGGAAGATAAATTTACCAAAAACTTTTAGCCATATCACTAATTGCATTTTGTTCCAGATAAATTTAGAGTTACTACTTTTTGATGAGCTAGAATCTAACTACTAGATCATCTTCAGATTTCTTTTGGTACTAAAGCTGTATTTATACGCTAAGGATAATACATTTGCTTCTGATAACATGCTGCTGTCAATTTCTTTGTATTTCAAGTGGTATAAGGTTTATGGTAAACTACATTCTCCTTTTAGAAAATGAAATAACTTGGTTGATTCTACATAATAATGGAATAGGGAAAAGGCAACACATGGTACAACACATTAGATAAAACAGAAGAGACATTGCTGTGCTTTTATCCTGATACCTTTGTTCATACATAATATGCCATTATTTCACAGTCTTCCAGAAAATTGAGTAGGCATTCTGTGCTCTTGAGTAATGAACTGCATATTCCCCAAAAGAAATAATGCAAAGGCTAGCTTCTAAAACCAACCAAACATGTGGATGTGGATATGTCATGTAATGTCTGCTCACTGCAATATTTCTGGAATCTACTAGCATGGTGCTTGATAAAAGAGTACATAATACTGATGAAAGGAATAGTCAGTAGTTCTTAAGTATGGCCAGTAAGTAAATAGCATTCTATTCCTTCTTCTTTCTCTGGGGTTCAAGAAGGGAAAATGAGAGGTGTAAGAATCCCAATAGTAGTTTATTACATAATTTGGGTTTCTTTGCTTTTTTTTTTTTTTATTTAAATAATGAAGTCTTCAAAATTGTTACACATCACAACATAGAGACATTTTTGTAATGGCTACATCAAAATATCATTATCATCACACTGAACACTATGTGTCAAGCCCCATTCTTAGCTCTTTGCTAAGTATTTCCTAAATTAATTATTAAGATCATCCTTGGAGATATGTACTATTACTCCCCAATTTATAGATGAGAAACTCAGGCACAAAAGGGTTTAAGTAATTTGTTCAATTAGGTGGTGGAGCCAGGAACTGAACCACCTGATGTCTGGATTTACTGAGAAGGAAGTTAAACAATACAGGAGTTTGAGAATGAAAGAGAGATAAACACAGAAGGAAAAAAGTAAAAGAGAAAATAAAATATATGTTGGAATAGCATTTGCACAGTGATAATAAGGGAAACTTATCAGGCTTATGAGAGAGACAAGGAATACCATGTGTGGTTGACATGCGCGGCGAGAGATTAAATAAAGTTAAGCCTACAACTTCCATAAAGCACGGTCCATGGATAATGCATAAAACTTGACAAAATATAAGAAGTGTAAGTCAGTTACTTAGACACCAGGAGGCAAATACCAAAAGAATCAACTCAAAGAACTGAAAGTGGTAACTCTTTTTTTTTTTTTTAAGATTTTTATTTATTTATTTTGACAGAAATTACAAGTAGGCAGAAAGAGAGGAAGGGAAGCAGGCCCCCTGCTGAGCAGAGAGCCCAATGCGGGGCTCAATCCCAGGATCCTGGGATCATGACCTGAACCAAAGGCAGAGGCTTTAACCCACTGAGCCACCCAGGAGCCCCTGAAAGTGGTAACTCTAGGGAAGGGATAGAGGTAGGAGATGGCTGTTTCTGGTGATAAGTCCTGTAGAAATATTTGATTCTTTGAAAGATATACATGTACAACTTAAGTAAACATGAAAACTAATAAAAAGATGTCCAGAACAGCTGCTTTAGAAAACTGGCAATTCCATTTCTGGGATTTACCCAAGTAAAATTAAAACATATGTGTGTTCATTGCAGCTTTATTCACACTATTCCTAAACTCCAGGGGTGCCTGGGTGGTTGAGTCTGTTAAGTTTTTGCCTTCAGCTCAGGTGGTGATCCCAGGGTCCTGGAATAGAGCTCCAAGTCTGGCTCCCTGCTCAGTGAGGAGGCCTGCCTCTCCCTTTCCCTCTGCTCCTTCCTGCTGCTTGTGCTGGCTCTCTGTGTCCATAAATAAATAAATAAAATATTAATAAAAAAATATTCCTAAACTCTGAACAACTCAGATGTTCCCCTCAAGGGCAGCACAGAAGCTGACATATACATACAACGGGAGTAGGAACGATCTACAACTAAATGGGATATTTTCCTGCAATTCGAATCTCGAAACATTATATTGAACAAAATAGATCAGTTACAGAAGAGGTATGATTCTATTTATATGAAGTTCAAGAACCCCAAATGGTAAAAGTGAGGGAGGGGGGACTGAAAAAGGAACATGAGGGAAATTTCTTGTGGTAATGGAACTACATTTTGAGAAGGATATGTATTACCCAGGTATATGCATTTGTTAAAACTTCTCAAATTTGTGATTAAGTTACATGGATTTCACTTTATGTAAATTTTTCCTCAATTAAAACAAAACAAGGGTTTGGAGAAAACTAAAGATTACTGCCTTTATCTGACAAATGTTTGACACTACTTTTTATTGCTCTCAAAGGAAAAGCATTCTAAATTGATCTCAAAATCATATACTTAGATCAATAATTTATAATGATCACATATTCAAAATAACTCAGGAATATTTAAAAGTAGTAACTACAACCTTTATTGAGTCACTAACTAAAAAAGTAAAAAGCAAAACAAACCCAACCAGCTCTGAGTTTTCAGTGAACTCTGATTCAGAAGTGGGAGAAAATTTAGTAACTATAAAAAACAAAAGGGAAGTGAACCTACTTCAAAAGATTAAAAGATGGGTCTGTTCTACCCACTGTAGTGGGTTTGAACATTTTCTCTTTACTCTGTAATGGCCCAAATTCTAGCAATCTCTTAAAAATATGAAAACATTAGAAAGTATACACACATTACTAGAATGCATTAAAGTTATTTTAAAAAAAAATTTTTAGCTTTTAATGAGCCAAAAAGGTCAAGGAAAAATGAAAGAGTAAACACAAGGAAAGCAGAAATCAAGAAATAATAAATGTAAAAGTCTGTATTAGTAAACAGATTAAAAAAAAAAAACAAAAAAACCATTCCTAATGGTATGCAATAATGTCTCCCAATGCATCTAGCTGCCCAGAAGTAGCTACAGTTATCAATGTCTTGCATAGTCTTCCAGCATTATTCTATGTATATACAAGCCATTGTATATACATAGGTATTTCAGAAACAAAAGCAAAAGCACAAAGGAAACATCCATTTTTGGGGAATATTACCTTCCTTTTTATTAAAACACACACACACACACGAAAATGTGATACATATATATGTGTGTATATATACACATACACATACACACACACACACACACACCACACACACACACAGGAGTATTACTCAACCTTAAAAAGGAAGGAAATCTTGTCATTTGTAACAACATGGATGAAACTGGATGGCATTTTGCTAACTTAAGTAAGCCGGACAGACAAAAGATAAGCAATGAATAGTATCACACATACATGAATTTTTTTTTAAAGGAAAAAAGTCGAATTCATAGAAACAGGAATAGAAAAGTAGCTTCCAGGAACTGGGAGGTGTGGGAAATAGGGAAAGGTTGGTAAAAGAGATAAGAATATAAACTTTCAATTAAGGTCTAGCTGGGGGATGTGAGAAATGAAGACAGCATTGCTTATTTGAAAGCTGCTAGGAGAAAGACATTGAAATTTCTCATCAGATACAAACTCAAAAAACTTTTTAACTGTGTGATGAACAATGCTGACTTATTGTGATCATTTCACAATACATATAAATATCAAATTATGTTGTGCATCTGAAACTAATAATATGTCAAATTATACTCAATTAAAAATTTAAATAAACTTAAAAGTTTTTTTAAAAGGATGAATAAGGTCTGAGGATCTAACGTGTAACAGAATGGTTATGGCTGATGACACACTGTACTGTACAACTGAAATTTGCTCAAAGAGTAGAACTTAAATGCTCTCACCAAAACAAAAAAAAAAGAAAATGTGAGGTGATAAATGTATTAACTTGATGAGGAGAAGAATCCTTTCACAGTGAATCAGATCATCACATATACTTTTAATATCTTATCATTTTGTTGATTACACTTCAATAAATCTTGGAAAAAAACACATTCTGTCTTGAAAATCATTCCACATTAGCACATAAAAATGTTCTAAATCTGTAGATTTATTGTAATGGGTGATATCAAAAACTAAAATAGTGTAATGGAACACCATAACCAACAAAAGAGGAAAATAACCTATCTTCCTGCCTGCCTTAGGATACAGGTTCTGTTTGGCAGTTTTATAATTGCTGTTCTGCTACTAGATAATTAGAGTTAAACAGCCCTTTGTACACTGGGCTAGAAAACTTATTGCATGGTTAACATCTATGATTTCAACTTCCAAATAATCTCTCAATTTCCAAAACATGATTCCTGGAAGCTAGGATGGTTTACAGATGGTGAACTTGGAAGAAACTTGCATTTGGATCTCCTTGCTTCCAATTTCCTCCTGGACTTAGCTCCATCAAATATCTCCCTCTCTACTGGATTTCCCGCTCTTCTTTTAGATCCAATCAAGTATCAAATCTTTTTAAAAAATAAAAACCTGAAAACAACGCCCATTGTGTACATGTTTAGAAAGCTTACCTTATATTTCCTTAATATTTATTCAAACCCAGCCTTAAATTAATCTAGCTTCCTCAGCCAAAACACCAAAAAGCTGTTTTGTTGAAGTCACCAATAACCTGTTAACCGCCAAATTCAATAAAAAGGTTTTTCAGACAATCCTGCCTCTGAAGTTTCCTTTGTGAGACTCTGTTCTAGCCATCACTTAAATACTTGTATTTCCCAGCGATCTACCTGTAACCATTTCCTCTTGTCAGTCCAGGTTAGTAGTCTTTTACTTACACTTTCATTTAGTTGATGAATCCTAAATCTTTTAATCATTACCTCAAGCCTTTCTACATATAACTACCTATTATGCAACTCTGGATACCCCATAAAATCCTCAAATGAGGGGCGCCTGGGTGGCTCAGTGAGTTAAACCCTCTGCCTTCGGCTCAGGTCATGATCTCAGGGTCCTGGGATCTGAGTCCCGCATCAGGCTCTCTGCTCTGTGGAGAGCCTGCTTCCCCCTCTCTCTCTGTCTGCCTCTCTGCCTGCTTGTGATCTCTGTCAAATAAAAAAATAAAATCTTAAAAAAAAATCTTTAAAAACATCATCAAATGAACGTATCGGTCTGTAAACAACCACCTTCTTCACTGATCTCAAAGATTTCCAATCAGAGGCACTAGTATCACTATTTAACCAGCTGTTCAAGGCAGAGCCTACCCAGAAGTCATGCTGGACCATCTTCTGGCTTTTCTCTCTTTATCCATAGAGTCCCCAAATATTTTCACTGAACCCAATTTTAGCTAGGTCCCTCATAATTTCAAGATTGTAATACAACTCATTCCACTGCTGATCCTTCCCGCTTATATTTCAATGTCCTTTCACACCAGAGACCAAGTAGTCTTTCTGAAACACACACTGATCATTTCTTTACCTTACCTCAAATATTCCATAGGTCTTTAAAAAAAGAATATTATGATGGTTTTCCATCTCCACCCAATATGTTCAGGGTAAGGTATTTCATAATCTAGCCACTGCTTATCTTTGCAGCCTTACTGAAGGCCATCCTTCCTCATGCACCCAAATCTCCAGCAATTCCAAATTAGTGGCTGTTTGCTATATGCACATTATCTTGACAACTCCATGGCTCTCCATCCCTTGTTTCAACTAGCTGATTTCTATTTGTCTGTCAAATACTGGTTAAAAAGCTACCCCCTGGAAACTTATCTTTACTCCCTCTTGGCTAAATAAGGTGATGACTTATATACCTGTACCACTCCATTTTCACAGCCTTCATCATCCTCTGCTGAAAGTGCTGGCTGACTTATTTAATCACAGCTAACAGACAAGCAACTTAAAAGCAGGAAATGGTGTTTAGCGCAGTCCTGGGAACACAGCAAACACTCCCTAAATGTTACTGAATAAATGATGCAAAAGAGGATGCTATAAGCCACTTCTCTTAGTCCTTTCAACCCTATCATTCTCTGACTGTCTTGCATTAATGATAAAAATAAAAATAGGGCGGCTGGGTGGCTCAGTCGTTAAGCGTCTGCCTTCGGCTCAGGTCATGATCTCAGGGTCCTGGGATCAAGGCCCACATAGGGTACCCTGCTCAGGAAGCCTGCTTCTCCCTCTGCCCCTCCCCTGGTTGTGTTCCCTCTCTCTCTGTGTCTCTCTCAGTCAAATAAATAAATAAAATCCTTAAAAAATAGTAATAAAAAATAAAAATAATAATAATAGGTGCTAAGAGTTGTTCACAAGAAATTTTAAATTTTTACGTTTACAACTTGGTGGCAATCTTTTTAACATGGAGTGAATTAAGGCTCATCCAGATCCTTCTAAGCCAATAATGACATTAAATTCAGTGCATTAATTTTTACTAGAATGTATCTTAAATTGCAGTCCTTGCACTTGTATTCACATGTCTTAAGATATCTTGATGTGGGGGCGCCTGGGTGGCTCAATGGGTTGGGCCTCTGCCTTTGGCTCGGGTCATGATCCCAGAGTCCTGGGATCGCGCCCCACATCGGGCTCTCTGCACGGCGGGGAGCCTGCTTCCCCCTCTACCTCTGCCTACTGCTCTGCCTACTTGTGACCTCTCTCCCTGTGTCAAATAAATAAATAAAATCTTTAAAAAAAAAAAGATATCTTGATGTGAATAGCACTATATATATCCTTAAGTAAAGATCTAAGATTAAATTCATATTCTATTACTACCATGACCACCTCTACCCCAGAACTAGCAATTTTTAATAATCTGTTTCTAATATTCATCTATGATTACTACTACATGGAAAAGGATTTACTTTTAATAATGGTTAACCATGAAACTGCTTTTAAATTCAAAGTAAATGAGAATGATAATAATGTTCAGTATACAAAGATCATGGAAATCAGTGCTAAAATGGCTACAGGGAGAATGCGGGAATGGGAGCTTAAATCATTATTAGCCAATTTAAAACAATCTTCACATTGAAAAATAGCCTTAAAGACAAAACTGTGCCGTAATGTACTGCTTACCTTTAAAGCGCCATAACACAATCCGTACAGTAAGGCAACCGCCACGATGCTGCAGATAAAACTGTAAAGTGCCGCAAGCAAGCTTGTAGCGGCTGGACAGGAAAGGGGATTAGTATTTTACATACATTTACGGAAAACACACATCTTGAAAGTATTTAAAATGCTGTAATATTGACTACAATGGAATATGTACTCATTTGACTTCTAAAAATTCAGTTATGTCAAAATCAGTTATATCATCCTATCCTTTGAAAAGATTCTGAAATGACAAAGGTTTACTACCCACAATTTTTGAAAGAAGACAAAATATATTCTCCTTGTAAGTAATGAACATTTATACATGGCAGAAAAAACTGTACCTATATAATGCTTTAAGACTGTATCATCTTATTTACAAAAGTATGGGAAAATGAAGCTGGCAGAGACTTAAGAGAACTAGCAATGTATTAAGTATTCATCAAAAGATATTAGGCTCTGTAAACAGAACCTACATTACCCAAGGAAGTAAATTTATATTACCATGTGTCAATTAATTCTCACAAAGTACAGATCTGACTAACTACTAACAACAACAACAAAAAGATCCACCTCAAAACTTGACAGCTATAAACAAACGAATTAAACTGTAACATTTTCTTACACCACACACAAAAATACGCTCAAGATGGATTAAAGACTTACAATGTAAGACATGAAACCATAAAACTTTTAAAAGAAAACACAGACAGTAATGTCTTAGACATCAGCCTTAGCAATATTTTCCTTGATCTGTCTCCTCAAGCAAAGGAAACAAAAGCAAAAATAAACAATCGGGACTACATCAAACTCAAAAAGCTTTTGCAGAGTGCAGGAAACTAAGAACAAAACAAAAAGGCAACCTACTGAATGGAAGAAGGTATCTGCAAATGACACATCCGATAAAGGGTTAACATCCAAAATATCTAAAGAACTCATACACCTCAACATGGGCAAAAACCATTAAGTAATCTGATAAGATGTACAGAAGACCTTAAAAGACATTTTTCTAAAGAAGGTATATAGATGGCCAACAGACACATGAAAAGACATTCAACATCACTGATCATCAAGGAAATGCAAATGAAAACCACGATCAGATACCAGCTCATACCAGAGTGGCTACCATCAAAGAGACAAGGAGTAACAAGTGTCAGCAAGATGTGGAGAAAAGGGAACACTCATACACCTGTTCATGAGAATGTAAATTGGTGCAGCCTCTAAGGAAAACAGTATGGAAGTTCTTCAAAAAAATTAAAAATGGAACTACCATATGATCCAGTTAATTCCATTTCTGGTTATTTACGCAAAAAGAATGAAAACACTAATTCAGAAAGATACATGCACTCCTATGTTTATCGCAGCATTATTTGTAATGGTCAAGACATGGAAGCAAGTAAGTGTCCATCAACACATGAACAGATAAAGACTCAGCCACAAACGAGACTGAAATACTGCCACTTGCAACAACATGGATGGACCGACCGGGCATTATCCTAAGTGAAATAGGTCAGACAAAAAAAGACAAATGCCCTATGATTTCACTCACATGTAGAATCTAAAAAACAAAAACAGAAACAGACACACAAACATGTAACAAACTGGTGGCTGAGAACCAGGGCGGGGCTGGCAAGATAGGTGAAAGGGATAAAGAGACAAACTTCCAGTTATAAAATAAATAAATCACAGAATGTAAAGTATAACATAGGGAATACAGTCAATAACTGAAGAGTGACGATGATAACTATACCTACAGGGGTAAGCATTTTTTTAATGTATGAAATTACTGAATCGCTATGTCATATACCTGAAACTAATATAATACTGTATGCCAACATCAACTACACTTCAATAAAAGATAAAAAAAATTTTTTAATTCTATTCTTACAAGTGGAAAAAAACAGATTCCATGGGATTACTAATAATAAGGACTAGGGGACAGCTAAAATAGCTCTCCTTTATTTTTAAAATATGGATAACAGATTCTGTTCATAATAATTTTATATGATAACCATGAAAAAAAAACCCACAGGAAAAAATCTTCTTTAGGAGGTTTTAAGAAACTAGTATCTTGCACAAGTTTTTAACAATATATGATGAAGCTCACTATTATAAATTACCTACCCTAAGTACCCTCCATACCCTAAATACTGAAGACAGTCTTCTACCCATTAAGCTATGCTAAATTTAGACCAGCCCAGTCTTCATTCATTCCCCTTCAAAAATTTTTCAAAACACAGAGATTCTTCTAAAAATCTTATTTAGGACAATACTTTTACTAAAAGCATCTGGTTTTGGTGTTTCCATTCTAAAGAAATAACAGTGCTCTGAAACCACATTCAGAGACATATCAAATACACATACTAGTTCAAAATCCAAATATAATGCTACATATCAGGGGTCAATCTATTTGGGATATATAACATTTATAAATATTTCATAAGTCTATGAAGACACCATCTAAACTCACTACAACTTCCACTTTTAGGCAACAGTACTTGATCATTTCTTATAAAGTAACTCCATTATTCCTGGATCTTTCAATAAAGTGGCAGACTTGACTACTTCTTCCTATCTACAAAGTAATTCCTGCTCAGTCTTTAATTATTAAATAATTTCCTTTTTCTTTCTAATTTCAATTCTACTGTTAAGGTATTTTAATGTTACCTTATTACTTAATAATCTGTAAAAGTAATGCTAGAATCTGTAATTTTTAAAAGGAACTACTCACCATTACCACCAAAGATATGAATATCCAGTTGCTCACAAAGGTACATTACAAATGTATTCACCTGAGGCAGGAGACCAATGAAAAATACTATTGGGAAACAGAGTGTAAACACTACAGAAGAAAAGAAAGGCATATTAAAAACATTTACACAACATCTATCCTTTTGTTCATTTTAAGATCATATGTGATTAAAAAAAAATCCAAAATGAATATAAACTGGTAAGCAATTTTTTAAAAAAATCATCTTAAATTATTTCTATGTAATTGCTTAGGTATTAAATAATTTTTTCAATGATAAAGAATAGCTTTTAAAATTACATCAATCATTTTCATATAATAGTTATCTGAGATACAGAATCCAAAGGAAAATTTCCATCACATCTGCTTTGAGAACAGAAGAATTACTATAATATTTATTCATCATTAACTCTTTTCATTCAAATAGTTTTGTTCCTCACTGAGAGGATTACAATAAATAGCAAAGTAAGCCTATTAAAACCATTTTAAACTATATAATTGATCTACTTATTAGGGAACTATTTGTGTAGAAATAAATTAATGTGAAGATCTGAAACACTTTAAAGATGACTCACCTATAACTAAATCCCTGGCTGATATAAACACCAGGGGATTAGTGAAAGTTATTCCATATAATTTGAACTTGGTTGTAGTAAGGTTTCTGCTACCATAATCCAAGAGCCAAATAAGACCACAACACAAACAGAAATAAACTGGTCTACTGTAGGCAATGATACGATTATGGCCCTGAAAATGATATTTAAAAAAGAAAGTCAGGTTAGTTGATTTTAAGACTCACAACCAGCTACTGAGTTCTTTGATAGCTTATATTCTAAGGATTCAAAAATGTATCTGTGTGGAAGCCAAGTTGCTAACTGTGGCAGAAGGAAATCACAAATATGGGAAGGAAGAAGAAGAGACTGAACCCTGTGACACTGGACTGACATTAGAGGTATCAATATGAACTTTTCATTTTTAATACACACACAAATCGATAGAAGATGTGTGTACACACGTATGCATGCACATATGTATATACACAAATATATTTCCTAGCTTTAGCCATTGAGAGGACATAGAAGCAACGACATTCTAGAATAAAGATTACTAGCCTCAAGATCTTAGTTTATAAATAACATTACTGACTAAAAAAACTCTGGCCTTCACAGAGAAAAGGCTGGTTTTGGCCTAGGGTAGGGAAAGTATATATAGATGAGCCTGGAATGTACTATTGTGAAAAGGAACGAAGTACTTAAAAGACTGATAAGGATATGTCAAAAGGACAGAGAGGGCAGCTTGGTGGGCTCCCAGTGGCCAAATCAGAGATAATTTGTGCCTCAAAATAAACATTAGTAATATTATAGTCCACTGAATAAAATATGAATCCATACCAATACAAATAAGTAAATACAGAAAGAAAAGTTCTTCCTTACAGTAAAAAGTCAACTAACAAATGTGGAAGGAATGATGAACTAGAAAATCACTATTTGGCAACCATCAAATGATAACTTATTCAGGCAAGTAATATCAATAGATTTTTACTGAAAACAAGTAGGTGGAAGTTTACAGGGCAAGGGGACATATATGAAATCCCCAAATAGCTCCCTACCATACACTTATTAATTCCAGGAGAAATATGGTAACATTATAATAATTAGTGGTTCTCAAGGGAGTGGGAGGGAATTTTGCCCTCTAGAGGACATTTGGCAATGTCTAAAGACATGCTGGTTGTCACAACTGGGGAGTGTGCTACTGGCATCTAGTGGATGGAGGTTAGAGATAATGCTAAACATCCTATAATGTATGGGACAGTATCCCTCCCTCACATAGATTCTCTCAACAAAGAAGTGGCCAGCCTCAAACGTTAATACTGCGGAGTTTGAAAAGCCCTGCAGATACTACCCTCGGCCAAAAATGAAAGTTAACATCACCAATAAAAGGATGAGTCAACATCACATGCTTCCTGAAATGATGCACTGAGAAAAACACATCACTTTCATAATTTTCCTTCCAAAAAAGCATATCCTGTATCTAATCAAGAAGAAAACATCAGACAAACTCAAATTAAGGGATGGTCTACAAAATAAATGGCATGTACCCATCAAAAGTGTCAATATTGTGAAAGACACATAATGAGGAACTGCTCCAGATTAAAGGAGGCTAAAAATAGTAAACGCATAATCAGGAATTTACTATTGCCAACTGAGTCAAGAGGAAATGCCTGAGTAAGATCTGTAGATTAGAAAATAGTATTCTATCAATGTTCAATGTCCTGATTTTAATAATTATATTGAAATTGTAAAGGAATGCCTCTGTTTCTAGGAAAATACATGGGTGTATTTAGAGGTAAAGGGGCACTGTGTTTACAATCCACTCTCAGAAAGTGTGTGTGGAATGGACAGGGTGGGGCAGGGGTTGTGGAAAAAACTAGGAAGGGAATAGGCAAATATGGTAAATGTTCACACAGGAATCTGGGTGAATGGCATCAAGAATTCTTTGCGCAAGCCTTGCAACTTTTCAAATTATGTCAAAATTTAAAGTTTAAAATTTGAAGTAAAAAAAAAAGCTGCCATATATCATACACTTCAAAAGCATTCAAAAGCGTATTAAACAATCAGTTGAAAGAAAATAATTTGCTTCCCTGTTCTGTTTTGCTCATCCACAGTCACTATTTAGTATTCCAGTGTATGCGTAATTATATTCAAGAAAGAAGGCATCATCATAAACTGTTTTGGAGTCTGTTTTTGCACTATTTTAAAGAGAATGCCCTTTAGTCTATTAAATAAATACTCTATGTTGAGTTCTAAAATTGGATCACACTTCATAAAAAATACCATTTAGCAGCTAATACTCTTTCCAAAGTCACAAAGTGAATAATAAGGTTTTTAATCTCTTTAGTGTCCACAGGTCTAAACATGAGATCAATTTATTCCTTCTTTATTCTTGCTCTTAATGATTACCTAAGCAAAAGAATGTACAGTTCTCCTTACTTCAAAATTCTGTTTTTCAATACTTACTCATGATTTATTCTTCAAACTTTGTTAAATTTAAGTTATTAAATAACTATGAGTTTATATGAACCATGTCTACTTCATTGGTAACCTCCTCTTGAAACAGGCTGTCAAAAAATGAATTATTATGCTCATTTTCAACTGAGACTTAGATTCCACAATTAGAATGCCATTTTATTGCACGCTAATAAATCACCTCTCTTTAGAGGTAGAGAGTCAAAACTTAGATGAGAAAATAATAACATAAATCTTAATTCAATCTGACATATGACCAAAAGAAGGTTTCAATGAATGTTAGAGAATTTTAAGTTACAGGCATATTAGTTGACTTACGTGTCTGGGAGAAGAAGAATCTGGTTGAACACTCTAAAAATGAAACAAAAGATAGATTATCCTACTGAGGTCCTGGTAACTTTATAAACAACTTTCAAAATGCCAGAAATAATTTCAAGTAAAATAATTCCATAGCTAAGAAGTGACCTACATTAAATCTGTTGAAATAACAGAAGATGAAACTCCAGATACTGGTGTCACTGTGTTATCAAAGAGATCTCAAATCTTTCCTGCCTCTTAAGTTTACTATGATTAATTAAAAATTTGCAAATAGCTTAACACTTCTGAAATCGTATATGGTAGGTAGTCTATCTTACTCCTTGGCTCATTACTACATATAAGTATAGTTGAAGTAGGATGCTTTCTTGTATGATACCATTCCATTCAGGATATGCACAAAATATGGGTTAGTTTATAAGAAGAATTCTAGTTCAGCCCACAAATTCCAAGGCTTACTAAATAACTCAATAGTATTTGTATTAAACTTATTATCTGAATTTTCACATCAAAATCTTCAAGTTAAGCTGTCTCCCTGTAAGAGATTTTATCAACTTTCTTTAAAAGCATTCAAAAGGTATTTTGCAGCCACTTCCCAAATGATGACTTTTCTCCCAAGTTCCAGCTCATTTCTAACAGCATACCAAACAATTTCATTAGGATGGTCTATGACCACCCTACAAGTCTATGATGGACCAGCTCAGTGAGTTTGGCATGTGACCCTTGGCTGGATGAGACCAGGTAAGCTCTAAACTCAATTCCAACATCTGGCTTCTAAAAACTTCTGTCCAGTCTTTCTTTCTTATGTTAATGGTATTACCATTCTTCTAGTCAACTAGATTTTTTTAAATCTAAAAAAAAAAGATTTTGAATTTCAGTCATCTTTTAACTTTCGGTTTCTAACCAGATTAACCTAAGTGGACAAAACTAATGGGACAAGAGACTGAAGCAAAGGAATGAATTTAAATAGTTTATGGTAATAAAAGAGATGGATTATAGTGGTTGGAATAGAAAGAATAAAAGCCAGAAATTTTGACAAAGAATCACCAAATTTAATCAAAGGCACCTATTATTATTATAATAAATACAAATATATAAATATATATTTATATATATAAATATAACTATTACTTGTTATTAGGGGTAGAGAAGTAAGGAACAGAGAGGCTTTAGGATTTTGAGTCAATATACTACTGTCAAAAGCAAAGGAACTAGGAAAGAAAAATATCAGAAGATGACGATGTGCTATTTTTAAAATGTGCCAAACTGCCTGTTAGGTACATAGGACTAAAGCTTGTGAGAAAAATGAAGACTTTGAGATATAAATCTGGACATGATTCATACATAGGGACAACTAATAAAGTAATAAAAGAGGGTGACTTCACTGGCAAGGAGTTGCAAGCTGAAAAGAGGGCCAAAAAAAACCCTAAAAAATTCTTATAAACTAAGAAGTTGTCCAAAGACCAAAGAGGCATCAACAAAGGAAATTAAAGTTATCTGAAAAGTAGGAAAATCATCAGCATAGCATAAAGGCAGATCAAAAATGAGGATTGTATAAAAAGAGAAGACAGTATTCATAGGTACTAAATGATACAGCACTCACAAAGAATGAAGAATGAAATAGGACACAGATTTGGCTATTGGAGATTATTAGCCCATAAAGACTATAATTTCAGTACTGCAATGAGGAAAAAAGCATGGATGGGTCTTGAAGAAATGGGAGTTGACACAAGTAGTTTTTCTGGATGTGTCTCTATAAACAGAGAAAGGACAGCTAATAGTATGAAAAGAACTAAACAAATAGTTTTCAGGATAGGGGAGAGTTCTGCATGTTAGCATATACTGGGCAAATAACCAATACAGGCAAGGGTTTTTACTAGCGCAGAAGAAAAAGGAAACAGTCTACATTAACAGTCCATATTGATTTTGCATGGAAGGTGAAAAATTAGGCATTTGATTTTTTTCCCTTTGTAGAAAGCTTAAAATTAATAACATTTGGCTACTGTTTAAATAGCAAAGGGATATCCATCTTCTGCTTTCAGTGTCCCCAAGAACATATATACTAGCCTTGCCATTACTATATCTAACCAATGATTGATTTTAATAAATTTAATCTACAGAACAGAAGACTTAAAATATGGGAGTGGGAAAGATGATGTTCATATTTTTTAAACAAATTTCAAGAATACTGGGGTGCCTGGGTGGCTCAGTCGGTTAAGTGGCTGCCTTAGGCTCAGTTCATGATCCCAGGGTCCTGGAATCTAGCCCTGCATCAGGCTCCTTGCTCAGCGGGGAGCCTGCTTCTCCCCTGTTTGCCATTCCCCCTGCTTGTGCTTGCTCTCTCTGTGTCAAACAAGTGGAATCTTTTAAAAAATAAAATAAGGGACGCCTGGGTGGCTCAGTTGGTTAAGCAGCTGCCTTCGGCTCAGGTCATGATCCCAGCGTCCTGGGATCGAGTCCCACATCGGGCTCCTTGCTCGTCGGGGAGCCTGCTTCTCCCTCTGCCTCTGCCTGCCATTCTGCCTGCCATTCTGTCTGCCTGTGCTCGCTCTCTCTCCCTCTCTCTCTCTGACAAATAAATAAATAAAATCTTTAAAAAAATAAAATAAAATAAAATAAAATAAAATAAAAATTTCAAGCATGTCAATTCTCATTTTTAACAAATGCCCAAATATTTTAATACCAGCCCCCCAAAATAGTTCTTAGGAAGCTTCATTTACATATCATTATTTTTTAAAGTTTTTATGTCCCCTTTGTTCCCTATCCAATCTAATATAAACATCTAGGGAAAATAAATCTAAAAATTAACAGCTTACTATAATGCAATGAATTATACAAAATATCTGCTTTTTAACACAAATATTATTCCCTATTCTGAAAAGAAGAGTGATGCTGGTACCTTAAGTAGTGAGTATTGACAGCTGGCTATCACTAGGCAGAACTGGAAGACCCAGATATCTCTGAAGAAGCCTTGTATGAGAAGAATAGATCCCAAAAAAGCCACAAGAATAGCCAGGATGACAGCTAACACATTTTCCAGAATTTCACGATTTCTGTAGACAGAAAAATTTACGAATAAGTATATCATCAATATAAGAAATGAGAGTGAAAAAAGGGAAGACATCATGAGGAAGTTCATACTATGCTTGCTGACATGCTTTTCTTGTACTGGTTCTGAATAAGGTTTTAGCACATACTGAAAGAGAAACTAGTTTATATTTAAAATTAACAAAAAACCTTATGTGAAGATAAAGCGTGCTATAGTAAGTGAGGTTCTAATTAAAGACATAATATTAGTTTTAATTTCTGTTTCAAAAGTTTACTCTTCTAGAACATCTGCTTTTTTGTAACATTTGTTGCTTAGTAACTAAGTAACCAACTTGAAAAGGACATATGCAAAGAAACACGTTTAAAAAACAAAATCTCAAAAGTTTCTAGAAAATTAAAATGAGAAGTTATTTTATATGACAAAGTTTGTAACCAAATTTTGATACCAAGTGATTTCATTTTCCGCATCTTGAAACCATCTGAAATAACCTCAAAACTAATTCACTAGAATTACTTAAATATAGGCTATTGCATATATTGAAAATGAAGGCAGTAATAAAAAACCATCAGTGTTGTCTCTATCAAAGCTGCTGAGACAGTTCTGTATTTTATTAAACTGAGTAAATTAAACAATGTGATGACCCAGATATTACATATACCAATGAAGATGATTTTTTGTCATACCAAAAAATAAGAATCTATCTCATTACTTCTTGGGGAAATTTTATTCATAAAATGCTGGATACTTGCTAAAAGTCTTGTTTTTAAAAAACATTTACCAACATGGAAACATGCTCAGTGTATGTGCTGTATAAAGAAAGAAGGGCATAAAACGGTATGCATAGGAAGATAAAAGTTGTTATTTAGAAGCATACACACATAGGTTAAAAAAAGACAGTATATCAAAATGATGCTACTACTAATGTTCTCTCTGGGTAGAAGAACTATGGTTGGCCTCTTCTTGTCTTAAAAATCTTCCTATACATTTTTAAATTTTCTAGACTAGGTAAAGAATTATTTTCACAATTCATAACTTGTTTTTTTAAAAATTTTAAACTTTTTAAATTAAGTTGTTGTTTTTTATTAACTTGCTTTTTCATTAAGTCAATGCCATCTTCATAATCATCAATTGACCTAATTCACAAACATCTCTGTACTAATTCATTTTATAGTCTTCTTGGATGAAAACAAGTTCAACAGTACTTTCAAACCAATCACGGGCACTCTCGTTCGTTCTTCTGTTGCAGCTGCAGAAGTCCAGATCCGTCAAGTCCAGTGCCCACCAGCAGTTCTGCCACATCAAACACTGTTCGTAGTTCTCATCACCGAACACGTGCTCCCCTTACACTTCTGTTAGTTTTTAATTTTTGATGAATTCGGTTTATCAACTTTGTTTACTGTTTTTGCTGTCACATCTACAAAATTTTGCCTACCCCATGTCACAAAAATTTCCTCTTACTGTTTTGTTTGGTTCAAGGAATTTTATTGCTTTAGATTTTAATTTAGACCCGTAATCCATTTTGAGTTAATTTTCATAGTTTTCTAATACAGTGCAATATAAGTATAAAAGTTTTTTTCCCATAAAAATCGAATGGTCCCTAGACCATTTGTTGAAAAGCCTACATTTCTCTACCTAACTGATTTGGGATACTATTTTGATGCCATTTAGGCCTAGAGTTTTCTTCATAGGCAGGTGTTTAACTATAATTTACATTTAATAGATATAGTAGCGTTAAGGTAATGTATCTTTCAGAATGAACTATGATGATTTCTACCTTTCAAGAAATCTGTCCATTGTCAAACTTATTTACATGTAGCAGATCATAATATCCTCTTATAACACCGGTAAAATCTGTAGTGATATCCTACCTCCTTCCTGTTATAAGCAAATTGAATCTTGTCTCTTCTCTTCTTTTCCCCCCTTAATCAGCCTGGCTTCAGTTTCATTAATTTAATTGAACTGCCCCTCTCCCCACTTGCACTCTGTTTCTCTCTGGCTCTCTAAAATAAAATAAAATAAAATATCTTTCATGTCTTAACTTTTTTAACATACAGAGTACAAATATAGTTGTTTTAATGTCTTTGACAGCTAATTCTAACATCTGTGACAACCAACAGGTTGGTTTCGATTGATTCATTATTTCTCTCATAAATCATGTTTAACTGTTTCTTTGCATGTTTGGTAATCTTTGGTTCGATGTCGTGGGGAATCCTTTGATTGGATGCCACTGTGAACATTTTTGGTCATGACAATTTTCAGATTTCTATAAATTTTCTTCAACTTTGTTTTGGTACTTGGAAACAACAGTCCGATCATTTTAGGTCTTGCTTTTACAACTTGTTTGGTGAGTCTGAAGCAGTGCCCACGTTAGGGCTAATTATTCCCCCACTTTTTAGGCAAGACTTTCCTGAGTACACAATGCACCATAAAAATATGAATTACGAGTTTCTTCAATCAGACAGGTGGGAATAGGCACTATTCCTATCCCTGTGTGTCAGACACTGTCCATCTACTTCTTTCACATGATTCTTACCCTGGCCTCAGGTAGTTTCTTCACATACATTCACTTACCCGTACTCTGATGAAGAGTTGTGGAGACCCACTGCGGAACTGAGGTTCTCTCTGTGAACAGCAGTCCTCTCTCTGATATTCTGTCCTCACTGTGTTGGGTCTCCCTGTACTCATAGCTCTGTCTCCTCAACTCAGGAAGTTTGCTGGGCTCCCTATGTTGGAGCCAGCGAGGAAGACAGGGAACTCTCTTAAGGCAGTAAGCTGGGGCAACTGTAGGACCCACATAATGCATTTCCCATCTCTCAGGAATCACTGTCCTTTGCCGTCTTATCTCCAAAGTCTTAAAAACCACTGGTTCAGGCATTTTGTCTCTTTTTTTGTTGTTTCAGATAGGAGAGTAAATCCAATCTTTGTTACTCCAGTCTATAGGAAGCACCAAGTTTTAATAGACTAATATTTTTCATTATTAAGACTAGTACTATGAAATAGGGAAAGAGGAGTTTCCTCTTATACCTCTTATATTTAGAGTCATATTACTTATAACCTTATGATCATTAACACTTCATATTCTCTGGCTTTTAAGTATAGTTCCATGATTCCTACTGATGATAAAAAGGATTTTTTTAAATAAACATACTAAAATTGCCACAAAAAAGTTTTTAGTGGATTTAGGAGAGTCAATGTTTGGGAGCTCTATTAACTTAAATTTTACCTCAAAAGAACCAAAATAGAAAACATTTTCAAAAATGATAACCAAGTAAAAGCCTCAATGGGTAATTAGGTTCATTTCAATTTAAAAATAAAATCTACACATATCTTTAATATCACACTGTATTCTCACCTATCAAACAGGGCCAGAAGTGTGAGTCTGTCAAAGTTAATGCCGATCCACAGCTGGGGTAAGACCCAGAAGCGGTAATAGTGTTTGACCTTTTGAGCAGCTTCTTCTGTTGGACCGTAAGTAGCTGCCAAGTCAGGGCTTAGATCGATGTCTTGTTGCTCCAGCAAATCTGTATCGATGGTCAATAGTCTGTTCAATCGAATCTGCGGAAGAGAGAGCTAAAAGAAAGTCAGTGCTGAAAGCCTCAAAATATCTTTAGTTAAGTCATGATTCAAGGGCTACTCAATCAGCTTGATCAGATGATCTAAGTCCCCTTAATTCTCTACACTTCTAGATATTTTATGATCATTAGAAACTACAAAAGGTGATAATGGGAAGTAAAGCAAATTAGTCAATCAGTCCTTTGGAAAAGCTGTATTGGGGAAAAGTGTTTGCAATCTTAACACTCTGTGATTGTAGAGCTAGGGAATCCATTAAAATCACTTAATGTGAATCATTAGTGGCTTCTCTAAGCCCTGCCACTATGGCCTTTTCTCAAAGCTATAAACTTCATTACCGTGCTCAACCTAAGCTCCTCTGAATTGGATTTGAAGCCTTCAACTCTCATGTCTTCCTACAGTCTCTTATCACTGTTGTTTTCAAATCCCAGCTACACTCCCTTTTTTTCTTTTGTTTTGGCAGGCTACTCTTGGAGGCTATACAGGAAATTAACACATTACATTTCGTTTTGCTTTAATTCACCCACTCAGCAGTTCACCAGTTTCCCCTTTCTCTGAAGGAGTCTAAAGTTTCCCTTATCTAGCACAACCCTAGCCAGGATTTCACTATCCCAAGGTTCCCATACCATCCAATAGTAGAAAACAACAACAACAAAAAACCCAATCATTTCCCTACTTTTGGCTTTCCTATGAAGTTTCCAGGAATATATTCCAGCAAAAAAGCAGAGACAATCTTTACTTATCAAACACATATGTGGTTATAGTCAAGAAAATCTGCTTCCTATAAATAACATAGATATTTTTATCTCTAAGCATTGACAAGTACCTCCCCAGACACTTTTCTTCTTATCCTCTATGCCAAGGTTTCTCAACCTTGGCACTACAGGTATTTTCAGTTAGATAATTCCTTGTTTGGGGGTTGTACTGTCCACTGCAGGACGTTTTATGGTATCCCTGGTTTCTATCCATTCACAAGACACCAGTAACATTCCCCTAGCTGCGACAAGTTAAAGTGTTCTCAGACATTGCCAAACGCTGAAAACCACTGTTCTATGCCAACTCACATCTATGGTCTTAAAACACAGCTCACAACTAAATCTTCATCAGGAAGCCACTAATAATTAACCTCTTTGGCACTACACTTATTTATAGGTATCGCTTATGTGTTTCATATAAGAATTTCATTTTATATGTTAACTAATTGAATCGAACTAAAATAAGTTAAGAAAATAATTTCATTTGTTTTGTCTTTTCTAAGTTCAATATATATATCTTGAGGGCAAAAGCAGTGTTATCTTTCTAAAACAGCCCCACCATATCTCACATGATATACTTTTACACAGTTATATCATCACTAAGCTTCACATAAACACACTGGTATGAGTAAATAATAATTAAGAATTGTACTTTTCAAAGGGAAGTTTTAAGATGGCACAACCAGATTATGACATCGGTGAGCAAATGGACCTTTACATATTCTCAAAAGTGTAATTACTGATTCATACACAGCTTAGGAAACTTCATGGGGTTTTATGTTTGTTTCCTAACAAAGGACTTACAAGAAGAGATCCACTATGGAACAGCAAAGGTGATTTTGCCATAGTTTTCAACAAAATCGGTATTTTATAACTTCAACGTTTCTGATTTGCATCGCTACTTAATCTGAATGTACATCATCTTATAAAAATAAAGGAAAACCTACCACATCATGTGGATAAAATCGAACTGAGGTAGAACTGGATACATGAGAATCCGTGTCACTAAAATAAAATGAAAAAATCTTTAGGGACTAAAGAACTTGTCAAGGAATTGAAAGAAAAATAATCTTTTAACAATTATATGATATTTACACTGTATTCGCTTTTCCAAGGACTTCAACATACAAAATAGCATTTTCCTACAGATGTGATTAAGAGCACAGCTTCTGGGCCAAAGTATTTATATTAAAAATCTCTTCATCAGCTAAATGATATTTGGGAAAGTTATCTAACCTTTTACACCTCAGTGTCCACCTAAGTAACATAGGATAATAGAACCTCTTATCACAAAGTCCCTGTGAGATGGGTTTATGAAGGCAATTAACAACAAACTTATTTCCACTGTTCCATCTTTCTATTGTTTCCACTGTTAGGAAATCACCTCACATTCCAATTTTTGGTCATTCTCGACAGGGTCAGTTTTGAAACTGGATTCAAGAAGCTGAGCAAGTACGTTCTGTCTCTCCAGCGAGTTAAGCTAAGTGACTGCAAGATCCTAATGTGCTTTAAATGGCCCCTAGAAACTTTTAAAAAAGTAAGTGAATTGCCCATAGATGTGTAACATTTAAATAGGTGTGTCCCATTATTAAATATAAGTCCTAAAATAGGATTCAAATGATCCCTGTGGAAAAAGTGAGCTAATCACTTAATAATGGATTTCAAGGCAACAACTTGAATAGGTGAGAAAGATTAAAATTTTAGAAAAAACTTTAATACATTCTAAGTTATAACTGATTGCATGCTCAAGATTTCTATTTATTATTTGCTCTTCTCCTAACTTCTTCCTTATCTCATAATGTCATTTCTTGGTAAGGGAAGGAGAAAACTAAATGTAACACACGACCCATATTTTAAGAAATTCCTCTTTCTTATAGCTGGTAAACAAATTTTAAAGCAAAAGAAAAGAAGGTCAGGTAAAAAGATATTTGACCAAAATACTTACACAGAAATAAAATTTTTAGAATTGATGGGCTTGAACTTAGTTGTGTATTTCCTAATAAGCCTTTTTTAAATATGCTTTTTTATTGATCTTGCAAAGTGCATACGTGTGGGTAGCACAAAATCTATAGTTAAATTCGAAACGGTGGGAAACTACTACCCCCCACTATAAGACCTACAGGGAATTTTTACTTAATTATTTAAAATACAGAACAGCTTTTGTTTTAAGAATAATGCTTTCTGGGGCGCCTGGGTGGCTCAGTGGGTTAAAGCCTCTGCCTTCGGCTCAGGTCATGGTCCCAGGGTCCTGGGATCGAGCCCCGCATCGGGCTCTCTGCTCCGCAGGGAGTCTGCTTCCTCCTCTCTCTCTCTCTCTGCCTGCCTCTCTGCCTACTTGTGATCTCTGTCTGTCAAATAAATAAATAAAAAAATCTTTAAAAAAAAAAAAAAAAAAAAGAATAATGCTTTCTTTTTTCCAGAGCAATAAATTCTACCTTGTATCTTTGGAGACAAATGCCCAGTGACAAATTACTTATGCCAATATGAACAAATATTTTCAAGATAACTTTCCCATTTCAAGGCCTAAAAGCAAGGCAAATATATGCAAGTACATACATTCTCCTACTATGACTTCACACATACCAGATATTGGATGCTCTTCTTGCTGCTGGTTCAAAATTCACAAGTGACATATCACAGCCACCAGTCTCATAAAGCGTAGAAGAGAACTTACCTAGCAAATAAATGATTTTTTTAAAAAAACCATTAGAATACTCAGAATTTTTCCATCAGGAAACACTACACTTCAAACTTGTTACAACTTAAGAAAATGTACTATAAACTTTCCCCGAAATATTTGAAAAACAATGATCTGCCTGTAATTCAGCATGATGTGAACTGAAAAGGAATGCAGAACAGTGGGGCAAAATGTCAATGTACACAATCAGGTTTTAACAGTAAGGGATTGAAGTCAGCGTTGCAATCCAGTCTCCTCTTGTCTCCTCACGGGACATTCACAGTTGAAGCAATCACATGAACGAACTTAATGTCGTTTAAAAGGCACCTGACCACTCTGCAAGTGGTGAGGGGCCATTTGGAAAGCTGCTTAAGTGTTAAGATGGCCCAAAACTATGAGACAACAAATTTCTGAGATTACCTTCAGAGAGTTTTGTTTTTTATTTTTCCCTTCTTTGTTTTTTTAAATAGTTAAACACAGCATAATATTAATTTCAGGTGCAGAATTCACTGAGTCATCACCTACAACACCCAGTGTTCATCACAAGTGCCCTCCTTAATACCCGTTATGTTTGGTTTTTCAGGAAAAAATTAGGCGTCAAAATGAATCTAAGGAAGTTCTATGAATGGAGTATAATAACATTGGTGAAAATTAAATTGCAGTATTTAATGAACATTACTAATTGCATGAATCTGTAAGAACTTTATGAAAAAATTTAGTAACACCGTTTGCTGAAAATGATAAAAGGTTTAGAAATTACATTGGGTGCAGAAAACTCTTAAAATGAAGTCAATTAAGATAAAATGGTTTCTCCTAGTGAAATTTAAAAATCTGGAGAGTGTCTGAAACGCATTCTTTACCTTGACAACCCATGGGAGCCCTATCGGAGGTAAGGAGCGTAAAGAAATGAATATGTAACTTTCCAGTAGGGCAATAAGATGAGGTATATGACTGCAACCATTGGGGACTACTCCAGGCTGCTTCTGATTATTTTTTACTGATCTTATAAATATGATGAATCTTAAGGGTAATTTCAACTACATGGCAGGGCTAAAAGATCTCTCTTAGATGACTACAATGTAAACACGGTATAAAATAAAGACTTTTATTTAATGAAATCCTTGAAAAGTAACAACAAACCCCTTAATATACTAACTATAACTAAGGATTGCAGAATATTTCAACAATCACTTCATTCTTTAAAAGGATTAGAAATTGGAAAGTATTAAATAAGATTATTTGAGTACTTTCTATGGGTCAGACAGAATATGCAAATATTTTATTATGATTTTTCTGTAGCAGCAATTTCTTTGTCAGAATAATATACTCCTGAGACAAGTGAGGAAAAAAACATTCTGTGAAATGTCGTCTTCATTTGCGGTTTTTCCAAAGAGGATTATTCAGCATGTGGATTTGCTAAAACTCCGCTTTTTACCACCCCCACATGCCACCCTCATCTTTTAGTCATGAATCATTCACTCTTAGCACCTCCAACACAAACCAGATTCATGAACTAAAATGAAATAATAAAAGCTGTCCATTTGGCTCGTTAGGTGTCTTACTGAAAAACTTTTAAGGTGATTAAGGTGGCTGCAGAAATTGTTAGTGAAGAAAAAAATTTAAAAAAAAATACTGGCTTGACTGAGATTTCAAAATTATTTTAAAATTATAATTTAAAATTATATGTGCTCTCTCTTACAATGGAAAATGGAAAATTGGCTGTGCTACTATAATTAGCTTACAATAATAGAAAAAAGAAACATCTGATCAAAATCACAGATTGCATAAATGCAGAATAATTATAAATCCATGTAAATGACTAAATCACAGAGTAACAGAGAGCTGACAGGGGTTGGCTACTATGTGTGAAATCCAGTAAGAACTGAATGGATTAAAAAATAGGTCTTTAGATCACCTAATTTGTTTGTATTTTTAGAAATAACTTAATACTATATTCAAGAGAACTTAAATTATTGGAATATATTCTGAGTAGGCACTGTATCAGATTTTTAATAATAGAAGTCTTCTTTGAGGAATACTGAGTATGATAAATGTTTATATGCAACTGAAACTGACTAAAGATATTATTTTTTCTAATATTCAAATGGAACCGGAAAAGAACATTAAGTCATTATACAACTGTATTATCTTTTATGTACAGACATCTCCTATGAAACACAGTTGCACTTTAAGTTAATAGAAACATAAAAATAAAGCATGCCCTCCCAAAAGCTCTTTAGATAAAGAAAGCTGGAAAAACTGAGTAGTTATAGTACTATAAATCTAGAACTCTGAATGCTTTTTTACAAACCAATGACTAACAAGTTATAAATTTTGGAAATTTAAACAAAGCATAAAATATATCTATGAAAAGGGAGGCTATAATTTTAACAAATGGCTTCAATAGTGCTTTTTTTTTTTCCTAAGAAGCTTTTGTTTACATACTAACTTTATGAACATGCTCAGGTCAGAACAAGCTAACACTGTATTAAGGCTTCATGCTCTATTCCTAATAAAAATCCACCAAAAGAATAGATTCTCTGCATCTTTGGACTTGGCAAGTAGGATCACTTCAAAAGAAACAAATTTTATTCAGAGCATAAACAATTTAGGAAAAATTATACTAAAAAGTGTTTAGCTTAAGGTTTCAGTGAAAAACTTAGTAATATCTTAAGGTATAATAATCTATTAAAAGCATCTTCAAAAACAACCAAAACATAAAGAAGCATATATTACCACTGGTTTATAAAGATTAAGAATATACTAAATTTGTACAAATTTCCTTAGCATACATAACAATTTTACATATATCTCATTTAAGATTAAAATCATAATGTAGTTATCCTTTAGGTCTAAAGTGAAATGTGCTTTTAATTAATAATCCTAGTTTTATTCTGTGTTAAGACTATTAATTTTTTTCTAATTAATATAAATTGAGGAGGATATCAATGAAATATGCCCTCACATGAATTATGATTAAACACGAAGTCATCTCATCATATCCAACTCCCAGGTCATAATTAATTATATCTAACAGAATGGTTTTGTCATGATTTCAAGAAAACAGTTACTTTCTGACAAAATAAACAAGATTGGAGACTGGAATTTCAGGCATAATGGTACTGGCCATGAGAGAGCATCTCTAGAAATAAAGAAAAAAAATTAAGGTACCTGGTATTTCTCAGTTTTGAACATTTGATTGCTATTGCCTAAAAAAATTACATTTCATAACACAAAACCATTTTTTTTTAGGCAGGAGAATTTCAAATACGTGATGAACAACAGGAAGATGAGTAAAATTAAGATACTGATTTAAAGAAAAGGACACTTGAAACATCTCCCTGAAGCCACGAATGGTGCAGCAGACAAAATACACACGGGCAAGACACTGATAAAAGGCATGAGAAAGCAATGGGATCCTCTAACTCATCCTTTCAATAAAATTCCTTGCTACACTGCACAAACTGTATAAAGATTGCTCAGATAGGAAACCGCTAATGCATTCTTGATGTTATTCATTTTACTTATGTACTTTGGAAAGAGGTAGTTACTAAGACAGATCATCTGTAGGATTTTTCTAATCCTTCCAGTTCCAACAACAAAGGAGGCCTCTTAAATTTCTTGATTTCCTTCTTTGGATCCCCTTCCCACCTCCGTTAATTCTGTATCCTCTAAGCCTAATCTTGGCAAACTGTTAAACGAGCTCTCGCTTTCCTAGGATTAACTCTTAAGACAGGCAGGAGCTACAAGAGCAAAGCCAGACACAAGGAAGGCAGCTTTATAAAGTGCTTTTTCGAAGGCTATCGGTGGGTGTGCTCGCTTCAGTGTGGCACACATACTAGAAGGCTGCTGGAGGAACACCCATCTCCAGGACTCACTTAAGTACTCTAGAAAAAGTGCTTATTTCTGATGTGAGGAGTCCTCTGTTCACAATGCTACTTCAATGAATACATTATTCTACTTTTAAGAGCAAGACCTTTAAGACTAGTTTCCTGAATAGCCACCCCCTTATCATCATGAATGGTACCTACGAGTCCCTAAGGAAACATGAGTTTTCACACTGACAGAAAGGACTCTTTCTGTTGCTGCTTATGGGTTAACAGACTTGTTTCTCCACAGACCAGTGGTCAGCACACTTTTTCTACAGCAGGTCAGAAAATAAATACCTTAGGCTGTGCAGGCCATATGGTCAGATGTAATTCAAGACTGCCATTGCAGCACGGAAGCAGCCACAGAAAACATGTAACATATATTTACTTTATTTCATTTATAAAAATAAGCATCAAGCTGAATGGATTTACCCCCCAGGCCATAGTTTGCCGCCTCTGTCCACCACCAAAAGCCTTTGGCTTCCAAAAACCTTTTAAACTATTGTACTACCATGGTAATCAAGTCACTATGCTATTTGTAATTGAAAGTTTCAATACTGAGAAACAGTCCTTCTTCCTGGGATGTTCAACACTGTGCTAGGTTTTTCGAAAAGGAGAAAAATTAGGAAAGAGCAGGAAGAGGCCTGGTAAGGAAAGACAGAGGTCTCTACTGCTTGGCAACAGTAAAATAGATTTATTCGCCAACATATTTTACTGACATGGCCATTATCCTCTAGTTCTGACTCAACACCACAGGCCTTAATTCATTAAGTCTCCACTCTCACTGCCTAATCCCCAGGGTCAGGTGAACCTTCCAAAAGTGAATGTACAAGTTCATATTCTGCTATGATTTCATCATCTGCTCACATTTTCTTTCAAAGAGATGTCTTCCTTTTCTTGGTAAAACCTACAACATGACAATACTGACAACATTACAAATGATCGGGTACACAAAAAGGCAAGACACAGAATGGGAGAAAATATTTGTAATTTGTACCTAACAAATTTTATCTTAAATACCAAAAAAACTGATACCTCAATAATGACCCAATTTTAAAAGTGAGCACAAGATTTGGACACACTTCATGAAAGAACATATATGTATAACCAAATAACACATCAAAAGAT